ATATCTTTAATATATTTATATATTCTGTATGTTTAGCTGTTTGGGTTTTAACATAACAAGTCAATACTTTTTATTTACGTGCTTTTGATATTTTTTTCTTTTACACCATTACATGTAATGCTTTTTTTTTTCCTTTTCTTTTTGTTATTTTTTCCAATACAATTATAAGTATAGTTTAGAAGATTTTATTTTATTTTTTAATTGTTTACATGATATTATTTAAGTTGTTGTATATATTGTTTGAATCTTTATTAAGTTAATTTTTGGCCAGATATGTATTTTTTTCTTTTGTAACTGTTCATTATTGTTTTTCTAAGGGAACATCGTCCCAGAATAAAGTTTATTTTCTCTTTCTATTTCTATTTCTATATATATATAAATTAATATTGAAGGCTAGTAACTAAGAGAGGCATTTCGGTCGATGTATGTATGGTCTTAAAGAGGCAATATCTAAGGCCGCTGTTGGCTAACTTCCTTCGCGTCGCTTCCCCTATTTCGCGATGACGTGTTGGCGGGGAACATTCATCGTTCCGCTGCCGCGACGTGCATAAACTTCTCGGCCGACGGTGGTTCTTCGTCCGGGCAAGTTATATAGGACGTGGGGTCGTAAATCCTCGTAAGGATCGTCTCTTGTTTGCAGTTTAAATACTTTTTATCCTTTAACATTTTTGTAGCAGAAAGTTTGAGAAATTTTCCAGAACTTACCATCTATAACACTATGTAAGGATGTTTCAATGTCACCTATATTTACTAATATTTATAAACATTATATTCTTTTCAAAATTATTTGAAAATATCTGAAGCAATATGTAGCACATAACAATTTGTTTATAAACGAACAATTTGGATTCCGAATTACCACTCAACCACCAGCCAACTATCTCGCATCATAGGTAGTATAACCGAAAATTTCAGAAATAAAAAGCAAACAGGTAGGGTCATCGACATTGAAGAAACGTTCGACACTAACTACTAATTCATTGATTTTTAAAATAATAAACATTATAATGGTTATTAGAGGCCCTTAACCTGACCTCTTCATGACTAATACCTTAATATCCTGTCACGTTAACTCCCAATCCTTTCTAGCATATTATGACGAATTCTTCGATTATTTTCACCGTAACTTCCATCATACCATAGCAGTTTCTGAAACTTGGCACAAACCTGATATTCCCTCCCTATCCGTTTCCTTACCCAATTATACCCTCTTCCGTCATGATCGAATGGACTGAACAGGCGGAGTGTGAGATTGTTAGTACATGACAGTCTGACGGCCAAAGTACTTCTAAAGTCTCCTGCTACAGACGTCCTTAACATAGAATATCTGTTTGTCCAAGTTTCCTTTAATACTTTTTCTCTACTCTTTATCGTTATTTATCGACCTCCTTGTGTCCGATTTGATCCCACTCTTGAATACTCTCTCCTTACATATATTCCTCTCTTTGAAAATATTATTATTGCAGGTGATCTCAACACCATCCTCCTTTCAAATACTCCGGACAGAACATATCTTATCGACCTAGTTTTTTCCTTAGACATATTTATTGTTCCCTTTCAACCCACCCATCACACTCAATCCATTTATTTGTCCTATTTCCTTGGATAGACTTATTTATTATTGATTCCCCCCATAACCTATTATCCTCTACGCAAATTCCAGTTCCCTTCCTTTCATCTCACGATCTTATCTTAATAACATACAACTTCTCTACTCCTACAACTAAACCCAAAAAAAATTTCTGGAGAGATCTTGATCCATAGATACCTGTTATTACTGATAAAGTCATTTTTATTCAATGGATCCTTCTTTGTTTCAATCAATAACGTTTCTTCTCCAAATTATAATACTATTACTCGTTTCCCTCAAGGATCTTGTTTTAGTCCATTATAATCTAATATATCTATTAATGACTTTTATAAATTTAAAAAAAAATGGAATAGTGGAGAAATGGTTGCCATTAAATAACATGGTAGGGAAATTTCAGTCTAGATAATATGGAATTACATTAACATCGAGAAACACAAATAAAAATTTAATTTATTTTGTGCCAACGATTCCGCCTCAGTTTCAGGTCTTCATCAGGGCTGAGGAAAAACGAGATGTCAACCAAAACAAAAATTAATACAAACCTGTTATAAAAATATTTGAAAACAAAATATATGCTATCAGCTAATAAATAAATTCTAAGTAAATAAAAAGTTTGTCTTGTAAGATAAATTAAACATGATAAATAGTACAATAAAGAAAAAATGAAATGGAGTCGTAGGTAGTGGATTTTTTCAACAAGTATAATTAAAATATTAGTAAAGGATACTGTCGGAGAGAAAGAAATAGGATTAGAACGATTGGTAAAGGTGACTAGATGAGACTTTTTGGAATTTATTTTAATCCTCAAGTATCAAAAAAATTACATTTATCGAGACTTTTTTTTTAATTGTAATTGCCTCCTCTGTAGGTCTACCTGGCTATCCAGAATATTTTCCGATCCCAATAGGCTTCCTCTCACTCAATGAATTGCTAATAGCTCCATTACTAAGCTGTCTGATGTATATTCATAGTTACCAGAAATTGTAAGCTCATTTTTCTTAAAAAAAAAAAAAAGAAAAAAGAAAACCTCGTATCAAAAAAGAAAGAAAAAAATCATTGTTTCCATATATTGATAAAGTTTGCAATAACCATAATAAATCGAATTTTGTTGTATTTTTTGATAATTAATCTGTGTTCTTTATGGATGCGAAACTTGGCCGCTTACATTAAGGGATGAGCAGCGTCTTAAGGTTTTTGAAAATAAAGTATTGCGTAGAATATTCGGACCGAAGAAGGATGAGTTAACCGGAGAGTTGAGACGGTTACACAACGCCGAATTGCGTGAGCTGTATCCGGGTAATATAATTGAGGTAATTTCATCGCGGCGAATCAAATGGGCTTGTAAAGTTGTTGGGCTTAGTAACGAGAGAATTCCTAAAAGATTAATATTTCCTGTGCCGAATGGTAAGCGTCCGAGAGGTAGACCGAAGCGAAGATGGGAAGATTGCATTAAAGCCGATCTGAAGGGACTGGGTTTGGACGGCGAACGGTGGAGGGAGGTGTGTAACAAGCGATTGGTGGTGTCGGCATCGAACCTTCGGGTTCGCTAAGCCTTATTATTATTATTATTATTAATTAATCTGTGTAATCTACCGAGAAAAATAAATTTTATTTTCACACAAAACTTAAAGCTTTACTTTTTATGCAGGTACCCAAAACAAAACAAAACGTTAGTCTCGATGATCCCTAAAACTCCACATTTTCTTACGAAATAAGGGTCTATCAGAGATTTCTACTACTACAACTTGTTCATTTAAATTTTTTGGAATTATTAACCTAAATTTTTTTTTCGTATCAAGAAAAACGTTTCAATATATTGATAAAGTTTGTAACTACCATAAAATAAAAAAAATATTTATTTATTGAAATATACAACTTTTTAAACTAAAAATAAAATTGTTAATTTCTATATATAAATATTTGGTCAGCGATGATACAAATTTTATCAATAAAAGGAAACAAGGTCTTATTTTTAAATGTTTTTGCTTGAAGCGAAAAAAAAATAATAACATGACAAGATTGCATTATGTACTTATTATAATATAATAAATATTATAATATATATTTATTTATTCTGTTTTATCGGCTCTGAATCGACCCAGATCTTCTTGGGGCACACCCAGCCTCTTTAATGTGGGTTCCCTTAATAAAATAATTTATTAAAGGGAGAAACCTAGCGGTTCAGTGTAATCTCGGTTAAACAGTCTTCCACAACTAGTATTGCCCAAAATCGGTCTTAGTCTTGCACTTGCAAGATCAAGACCAAGACCAGAACTGGTAAAAACATCGATTTTTTAAATAAAAATTATGGTAAAATAGTTATTAATACTAATAAAAATTATGGCAAAATAGTTATTAATACTTCACAATCCTAGTTACTATACGTAAAGAATTGGTATAACCAATATACTTTTGCATTTAATTCCTCTAATGTTTCATTCGGGCTTAGTTAGGTTTCTCCTATCCCAAAAATTACAGCAATAAGCCAATAAGTAACTGCAAGACTGTTGCAAGACTTGCGCAAGACCAAGACCATGACTAACACTGAGTTTGCAAGACCAAGAGTCGTCTGGGTCTCGCATTCGGGCACTAGCGGCTCCAGGATTTAATTTTGGGCGGATTCAGCCCGGAAGCTTTTTTTTTTCATATATATAACGATAATTACCTTGGAAAAACAGAAAGATAATAACTACCTATATGAAATGGAGTTTAAGTGATACTTGAAGTCCTATTAAATGTAATTAAACGAGCAATAATACTTTAAGACATAATTTTTTAATATTTTTTACCATAAAACATTTTACCATTTTGGGGGGCTTCAGCCTCTCCCCTCAAGGCCCCCTACCCTCTTCCCCCCTCTCCCCTCCCCCGTAGATCCGCCTTTACATTTGGGCAACACTATCCACAACCATTGACCAAGACTTCCTTACAAAATACTAAACCCAAGACTATTCATAGGTTTTAGTGGTACAGGTTTTTTTTTTCCTTAAAACTTTTGAATATGATCCCAAAGCACTTTTTTTCTTTCTTGTATACATAGACCTTTTAGATCTTTAGACGCTTGAACGAGTTCTTTTTTAACGTTTTTAAATTTAATTTATCCATCTGCCTTTTGGTATTGTAAGGAGATTTCCTCATGGATTGCTTCGAAATACATTCTCCGCTCTTCTTAACCTCCTTGCCTTCATATCATAAAATATAGACTAGCCAGTTTCTGAAAGCAGTTCTTTTTTGCTTATCCACTATGACTTTAGATTTTGATCTCATATCGCTTCGGTTATATTGCAGAGTATTTTTCCCTCGAGAAGAATTTATCATCATATGATATAATAAACTAGTGCATATAATTTACTAATTGTAAGCCTACTGTATATGTTACGACTATAATATAAAATGGATATTTTTATAGGGTCGCAATGGAAAAGGATCCATTTTTGTGTGGGCAAGTGGAAATGGAGGAAAGCATACCGATTCCTGTAACTGTGATGGCTACACCAATACAATTTATACCCTTTCCATATCAAGTGCTACTCAAGCAGGGTAATTTATTCAATACAATATTTATTCATATTCTGCACTTACATTAATAAAGAAAGCTTTATTTAATTTGTTTATATTATTTTTTAGATATAAACCATGGTATTTAGAAGAATGTTCCTCAACTATAGCTACAACATACAGTTCCGGCATTCTGGGTAGAGATAAGAGCGTAGCTTCTGTGGATATGGACCCCAAGCTCCGCCCAGAACACCTCTGCACGACTGAACATACGGGTGATAACACTTAAATATTTTACAATTTATAATTTATAGTTGATGTAAATATATTAATATTTATCAAAAAAATCTATTAAATTAAATGATATAATTTTATGAAACATCAGATATATAAATGAAAGTAATCAAGTAAATTTCACAACTAACCATTTAACATCAAATAACCTATACTGCGCAGTTGCGAATGTCGTAAAAGAATAAAATAAATAAATAATGTTTAGTAAATTGACGTTATCTTCTTTCAAGACATAAATAGTTCAGTAATATTCTATGAAAAATAAAGGATGAAGTTTCATTTGTTGATTAATCCAAGCATAACCGCATACTTTTCATTTTGCTTGAGAGAGGGTGAGGTAATCTATGATGAAACATTAATTACTTATTAAAAATGTATTATTATAATAGACGATCGAATATTTTAAATATTAGGTAGGGCCTAACATCAACTGAAAAGAACTCTTTTGAGATTGTTTCTTCTCTTAAATGAAGCAAGCGAGTAGAAGTTCGACATTCGTGATTTTATCAATCCAATGATAATGTTAATAATCCAAAATGTGTACAATGCACGCAGTGGACATTTTGTTCAATTATAACTTTATGTAGAGGAAGGAGATGGCCTGGGGTGGCGGTGATAAATATACTAAAATAGAGGCAAAACTATTTTATTTCAAGCTAACGTTTCGACCCGACTTTGCAGGTTTTCTTCAGAGAGAAAAAAAAAACAAGTTTGAAAAAGTTGAAAAAAAAACGCTTGAAATAAACTAGTTTTGCCACTATTCACTATCACCCCGGACCATCTCCTTAAAATACAATGGTCAACTATTAAGTATTCAATATAACTTTATGTAGTGTGTAAAAAGTTGTCTTTTGTGATTATTTTTATGCTTTAAACCCCGCCATAAAAATTTAAATACGCTTTCGTACATACTGCAGTACACCAGAAATTTTAGTAATTCCATAAGCAGTATGATTTAATAAGCTTTGCCTTGCCATGTTTTCGCATTATTCTCCTATAATTGTCTTCAATTTTGTTTAAATAAATAATCAACAATGTTAAATTTAATACAAATTAGGCTATATATTAGATTTATAATATAATATAAAATTGTATTTTTTCATTCATATTTTATTTTAAATCCTAAAGTTTTCCTGACAACACTCTACTTAATTATTTTTTATGAAGAAAGGCCTATAACAAATTTTTTTCATGTCTATTTTAAAGCTTACAATATAATTAGAATAAAAATATAATTTTTTTTTTTAAATTTGTGTTATTTTTAGTTTACCAAATAACCAACAGGTTGAGAAGCACTTCTGTATAGGTCCCATAAAATAAAATAAGAAATTTTAGAAATGTTCAACTGCTAATATAATGGTTTGAAATTTTTCAAACTAATTCATTGGATCAATAATAGATTAAACAGCTAATGAAATATATATTAATGATTTTTTATACCTTATTTTTGTAAACAAAAAATTACAAGAAATATTTCATTAACAGTTTTTAATTTAAAATCTATACATGGTAGTTATGAGATTAACAATCATATTTATTTACATATAAAGGTACATCAGCTTCTGCACCACTTGCTGCCGGAATGTGCGCTTTGGCACTTGAAGCAAATCCTGATCTGACATGGAGGGACATGCAGCATATAATTGTGATGTCAGCGAATCCGAAACCTCTAAGCAAAGAAACTGGCTGGATAACCAATGGAGCGCACAGAAAAGGTGAGTTTATTCCGAACCAGTTATTACCTATAATAGCAACAATTTCTATGATAGACCACATTCCCTGTTTGCAGAATTTTCTCTAAGTTTCACCTGTGTTGAATTTTAATTGTAAAATTTTGTTACATACAACTAAACTAATTAACCATAAATATCTCATTCACTGAATAACATCCAAAATTTATTTAGGAAAACAAAAGTATCAGTAACCAAAAATAGACTTGACAAACAGCTTTTTATGTTTGATGACTTCGTACAACTTTTATACAAATATGGTGTTTTAATCTTTTTTAAAGAAAAGTTACAATGCTTCAGTGTAAACAATATAGTAGTTTCTTCTTGAGGTATAAGAATATACCGGTTTCCTCAACAACTTAATTTAGTTAAGGCGACATATTATTGCTCATGGGAGAAATACTTAAATTTTCTCAAAAGTTTGTTGTTGTTTTTTCCATTATCCAAATTTGAAAGTAGACTTAAATACAATAATGGGATGATCTACCGCTGATTAAAACTTTGAGCATTTTATTTATAAGGACCACTAACAGATCCAGGATTTAATTTTGGGGAGCTTAAGCCCCAAAGATTTTTTTTGTAGAAATATATTAGGATAATGACTTCGGAAGAAAGATAGAAACTAACTACCAATATGAAATGGTCTTTAAGTGATTGCTGAAGTCCTATTAATTGTAATTAGAGGAACAATAATACTTATAAAGATCATTTTTTTCATAAAACATGGTTATACTTTACCATTTTGGGAAGGGCTTCAGCCCGAAAGCTCTCCCTTCCCCCCCCCACCATAGATCCGCTCATGATAGGGACTGCGAACATTATTGAAAAGAAGCTTTGCTAGCATAATTGTTTAGTTTTCAAGATTGGTTCAAATTTATGCTTAGTGCTCCATGATTATGGAATATAATTTGATGTTGTGAAGCCAAAAGTTTTCCTGAATAAGTAATCTATCTGTTGTAAATAATATTTTTCAAAATGGACAAGTACCATTTTTTCCGATTCAAGCCAACAAATTCCAAAGTTTTATATATTAATAGAGTTAAAAAAGAACAATTTGGTTTTTAAATATTTCTATAAAATATGTTTCGTGAAATAGCTTATATTAATAAATGTATAAATGCCTACTAATTTTAATGAATTGTTTTTGTAGTGAGCCATAAATTTGGATTTGGTTTGATGGATGGAGGTTCGATGGTGGAACTGGCAGAACAATGGACAACTGTACCAACTCAACACCTATGCCAGACTCCAGAAATCCACGAGAATAAGTAATTGTTAATTAATTACAAATAATTAGATAATATGTTTTTTTTTTATAACGAACTGTCTTCGTGTCGACAATATTGCTCATTTAGTTATAACCGGAGAGCACATTTACAATGAGAATATTTAACATTTACATAGGATTGGATGGAAAGCTATGTATCCTCCGCCAACAGGACGAGATGTACGACCTGCACCTCTCAGTTTGCCCCGCCCTGTCAGATGTTTGCAGTAATTCTGATGGGATTGGCACAAATTCTAACAAAGAAATCATGGCGGAATGGTATTGGGCTGCCAGGAGTCAAATGGCCTAATAGCCAATGGTAGAGGCGTTTAATAAAAAAAAAAATAAAAATATTTGTAACAAAATTTGTGAAGTAATTATAAGGCTTTGTTTAGTCTATTATTGATTCAGTGAAATAGTTTTAAAAAATTCAAACCGTTATATTAGGAGTAAAACATTGCTAAAAGTTCTTAGTTTATTTTCTAGCACCTCTACAGAAGTGTTTCTCAACCCGTTTGTTGTTTAGTAAATTAAAAATAACACAAATTAAAAAAAACATTTTATATTTTTATTTTAAGTATATTGTAAGCTTTAAAATAGACATGAAAAAAAAATGGTTATAGGGCTTCCTTCATAAAAAACAATATAATCACTCTATATCAATCATACAGCTCCTTTTTTTCACTTGATTAGAAAATACTAGTCACCGCATTGTCAATCGTTAGTTAGGGCATCACGTTATTTCAATATATAGACAGAGTAGAACAAACCCAGTCAAAGCATCTGTCTGTTGACTATTGCTAACTAGAATTTTTTTTTATAACCTCCTTGCATAACCCTTGGCATTGAAACAGTACTTCCAGACAAAAATACTGAACCCAAAGCACTTCATAGGTTGTAATGGTACAGGTTTTTCTTGAGAAAGGCCACATTATATGCATTTCGGAGAAAGGAATGGTCAGGAAACTGTTGGACGGGAGGCTATACCGAGCGAGAAGAAGAGGAAGAAACCTCGGCTCAGATGGGAGTACACTGCTGCCATAGATTCCCGCAATCTACTCAACACCTGCAAGAAGTGAGGGGTGGCAGAAGATTAATTATTAAAATAATCTGGTGTGACAACTCATTACCTATTCTATGCTGCTAGTTAGCTTAGCCTTCTCTAGTTGACTCTATTTTATCAAAGACTTGTCTGCCTTGCGAAGACTTGTCAAGGGGGCCGAGGACCACATTGATCTGTATGTGTATTACGGAGAGAGGACCCATCATAGTTACCTAAACTTGTCAGACTTGACAGCAAATATTGATCAGTTCTCGATAATAGCATCTTCTTCATACCTCGCTTTCTTTTAAGGGTCCAAAGATCTTTTATAAGATTGCCCTCTCAAGTCCCAGCAGCTTTTGTTATAGCCCTGATCTGTTTTATGGAGCATCTGCGTAGAGAGCAAACTACTCTTCCTTCTTTTAGTCCCATTTTTCATATTACTCTCAATTCTCAACCCATTTTAACCTAAACTGGCCTTTTCTTCTTCTCTTACTCCAACATGCGTAGTCTTTCCTAAATTGACATTAACACCAAGTTTCTTGGCTGCCTCTTCTGATGGCAAGGAATGCCTGCTTCAGTATCCTTTTAAATCTAGATATTATTTACCTTATTAAAAAGAAATTACACAATAGTTATGACCAAACACAGATTTTTATGCAATTACATATTTTGTTTGCATACAGTTTTTAAACTGCTGATCAAATATCTATATGAATCATTGTACTCAATGCAATTAGTGAAATTTTATAAAGCATATTTAATAATAAATACAGATGATTGCATATTTAGATTATTTATTTAAAAAATAATTATTATAAATAATAATTTAAAATGGTACGCTGAAGATGAAATTACATAATACAATTGTAGGTTGATTTTCAGTCAACAAATAACAACAAAATAACGTTACTTTCAATTATTTACTTCTCAGAATATGGATTTTTCTTTTTTTTTCATTTCCTTCTTTCATCTATCCTTCTCATTCCTTTCATCGTCGAAAAAATGTATATCCTAATTTTTTTTAAACTATTTTCATATTCTTTTGAATTTATTTACAAGTTTTTACAAAAGTTTTATTTATATTTTTCCTACAGGGTTTTTATAATCTGTTGCTAATTGGAACTCTGTAATATATTAATATTTTAGTCCTTAACAAGTATTACATATTATCTTTATAATCATTAATAAATAAACATTTTTATTTCCTGCTTTTTTATTTATCACATTGTTTTAATTATTTGTTTGTAAAAAAAAAAAATGAAATAGTTTTATTTAATTTTTAAACCTTCAACTTTTTTTTTAAGTTCAAAATGTTTTGTAGGAACATTAGTGTAATTGAATATTTCAGACACTTTATTCCATTTAGAGATTCTTTCACTGCATATTTTATTACTACATATTTATATGCATTGACGTTTTTTTATTGCATATTATATGTCATATTTTTGGAGGTTTTTACTGCATAAGAATCTGGGCCCTGATTATGATAAATGAAAATTAAAATATTCATATAAATTAGTGAGTTGATATTCAGTTTATTTTTTAATGTTATATTGAAACTTATATACATTCTTCTTATAATTTTAGAATTTTGGAACCAGACTACGAGAGTGAACTTTCTGTTGGTACAAATAACACTGGCTGTGAGGGTACCCTCAATGAGGTACGATACCTGGAGCACGTCCAATGCCGACTCACGTTGAATTTCAGTCCAAGAGGCAACCTGCGGATACTCTTGAAATCTCCTCAAGGCACGCCTTCAGTGCTCCTCTCGCAGAGACCCAGGGATGTCATTTCTTCCAATTTCGATTCTTGGGCATTTCTCTCTATCCATTTTTGGGGCGAAGATCCCAGAGGTGTATGGACCCTAACTATAATCAACGCTGGGCCAAGAAAAGCTGATTCAAATGGTATTACTATAGTACAGCAGAGTAGTTTTTAATTATTTTTTCATGTTTATGTTATTTTACATAAATTTCTAAAAATCTCCAGGTATTTTGAAGAAATGGGAATTATTATTTTATGGAACTGAAACAAATCCGATCAGACTGAGGCCACCATCTCTTCAAATGTTCAAAAAGAAACATCCTGCAACAGAAGAAGAAACAAAGGTAACTATTTCACGAGATAGATGCTACCATTGACAAAGAAAACCTTCAGAATCACTTAAAAAATCAATTTTATTTTTCTAAGTGGATATAATTTATTGCAATATTAGATTTATTTTTTTATTTCTAAGATTATTACTAACTCTTACAACTTTAGGTTGATGTTTCAATTTCAATTGGCAATCTTTTATATTACTGAACTTTTCTTCATTGATAATCTAAAAGCAATTATAAATCTATATACTTAATTCTAATTTTACTTAGGCAATTAGAAACATTAAAATAATATAATAATTGAGTTTTAAACCTAAAAAAGCATAATTGATCTAAATGAGAAAAGCCAAATATATAATTATAATCTCGCCCTTTATTAATGTACTAAATTCATTATCAAATTTCATCAATAATGTGACGTGTTTTATTCTGTTCATATTTTTGTAATTATAACCTGAACTTCTATTTCTTATTATCAAATTGTTTAAGCTAAAAGAAATTTAACAAAAGAAAAACAATTATTTTACTTGTAATTTGATGCTCTAGATTATTAATATTTGTGCTGAACCCTTATATTATAAATTATAAAATTAACTAAAGTTATTTATTTTAACTAAAAAGAATGTTATAATAAAATTTAAAATATTGCAATTGTCTAAAGTAATTGTCTTATGAATGTGATTATAAAATAAATGGTGAGAAAAAATCCATGATTTGTATAAATACTTACGAAGAATTTGAATAAAATCAAAGTAGTAAATAATAAACAAAAAATATTAAAGTTAATTTTTAGAAATTGTAAACTAAATGAAGTTCCAAATCTGTCTTCTTCAAAAATTGTATATACACATGAAATCTAATTGATAACAAGTTTTATTATTGGAAATATTGATAATAAATTTATTCCTTAGGTTGTAGGAGAAAACTATGAGGATAATAATATTGAAGATGGATTGGAAATTGTCTACGACTGTCATGAAGAATGCGACAAAACAGGATGTTATGGTCAAAAAAACACACAATGTATTTCGTGCCTGCATTTCAAATTGAATAAGTATGTGAACTCCTTATGAATTTTTACTTTTTTTTTATTTACTCCTGTTTATTTTAACCAATTTTGTGTTCAGTAAATTATGCCATGGTTCCAGATATTTTACAATAACTCTGAGTAAAGGCTCTATATTCATATTATATATTAAGAGAAAATACTTATTAATTTATATAATATTAAGGGACTATGTCATGAGTCAAGGATAAGCTCTATACCAAATCTATTTGTCTGTCATGAAATAAGCTCAGGACGAAGTTTGCTTTAGAATAAAAATTGGGAATTTTCTTTATAAGATTAGGTTAGGTTAACTTAAAAAATATATTAAATGATTGACTCGGTAATTAGCCCTAAACTAATGTCTCTGAGCTACCTAACAAATGGTTCAATGTATTAGATAAGCGGGTTCAAGATATCTCTATCAATGCGAAATAATTTATTTAAAAATATGATTTGACATTAAATTAAATTCAGAAATTGTAAATTTAATGAATTACTTCATTAGATTCATCTTTGGAGTCCCCAGGCACTCCCAACTCTCTAGTTAGTATATCGAGTCAAAGTTGTCGAACGTGATGTCTACTTTCCCAACAGCAATATTTCTTAGGTGTATTCTTTTTCCGAATCTTCACAACCAAAAAAAATCTTACCCTCTTGATTTGTTTACTTCTTGATCCTTTGTTCATTCCTGAAACGTCAGATCCCACGCCAAAAACGTGTATATTACTTCTTATAGAACTATTTATTGTAACATCCATCTTATATTTTACAAATAATAATAATAATATAACCTTGTGGCAGACCACTTTATACCATTGGGATACTTCCTAAATAGATAAGAGGTTATTAAATATTAAACAAAATTATAAGAGTATTAATTTTTTTTTAAATTTTTTTTTTTTCATAGCCCCTTTCTACTTATTTTTGTCTTTAATGATTGGATTGTCTTAATAATACACCTTTTACTGCTTAAAAGCATTGTAAGGTTTATTTTTAGATTTTTCTCGTTTCTAAGTATTTCGTTCTCCATCTGTAATATAAAGGTGATGGGGCTCACCTCAGGCTTGAGTTGACCTTATCCTCTAGAGCTTACAACTAAATTAAAACATCTATCTCATGTGATTTGTTGCCAACGTTTTGGAATTTTGGCTGGTAACATATTGTTAAAAAGAGGGTTTGCCAATTGTTGGGATTTTTCGAAAAATGATTTTTTTCATTTGCGAAAAATTCTTTAATTGTTGATAAGGTTAGTGTTGTTTGTATATCCACTGTCTTCTTTCTCTGCAGCATGGTTCCTCTAACAATTTTTCTAATTATATCATTTTGGAAATATTCTAATCTTTTCAGAATTGTTTTGCTGATGTGTTCGAACAGAGGTGCACCATACAGCAGAGCCGGCCGTATTATACTGGTATAGATTAGAAGCTTTAGGCGTAAAGATAGGTTTGTTGTCCGAATTAAATTTTGGAGTCTGTATGTCTTAGATCTTACTGTTTTAATTTTTTTGTCAAAATGTCTATTAATTATTAATTATTAATTAATTATTTATTAATGATTAATTATTTATTTATCTCAGGTATGGGTTAATGACAATCACATCAACTCAGACAAATTATTATTATTTACACTATTTATACTAAAATTAAACACTAATTTTATAATAAATTCTAGTATGGATTAGCAAGCTATCTTTTTTTCTATAGATCCTATTTCTTCCTTTGTTGCACTAAATTCATTTGACTTCAAATGCTTTCTAATGTTCTGCCAAACACAACTTCCAAGATGGTAATAATATTTCTGGATTTTTCCCACTGGAGCCAGGATCACTTCTCCTATCCTCTCTTCACTGCAGTCACACAACAACTGCTTGCTAAAACCAAAAGCTTTTTTCCTCTCCTCTTTTGGATTTTCCATCTTGGGAAACTACAGAGCAGCCATTTTCTTTTCCCTGCACTAGTAGAACTACATTAGCTTGCCTTTTAATTGTTCAATATTAATTTATTAAACCCTTTTTACTCACTTTCAATAAAGGTGTACATTACATTATTTTGAAAAATCCTTTAAAATCAACTGTTGTAAGTGTTATGTCGATAAAAAGTAAAACCAATTTTTTTTTTTTTATTTCACTCTGATTGCAACCTCCAACCAACTTTTACTAAAATATTTTGATTTTGTCAAAGGAGATGCGTGGCAGAGTGCCCTGAAGGTTATTATAGCAGCGGTAAGGAGTGCCTCGAATGCCATAGTGACTGTCTCTCATGCACTGGACCAGGGAGAGACAGTTGCCTCACCTGTGCCTCTCACCTCTTCTACGTCACTGACTTGGCGCTTTGTATCACTGCCTGCCCTCACACGTACTATCAAGGTAAAGTTTATTCTCAAATCATTCAAATTACTATTATTGGTTTGTTTTATTATTGCTGTCAATATTTTTATCCATTACGTTTATTTCATTTAATAAACATATCCTTGCACTTCCGCTCTTTCAATTCAATCAAAAATAAATTACTAACGCGCATTTCAAATTATAACATTTTTCATATCATTAAGTTAAGGTGATGAAAACACAATAATTGATAACGAGTTTTTTTTTCAGTAAATAACAGATTTCTTAATGAATAATACACTATCAGATTAACTGACTAGCTGTGCTATTAACTCTTTAATACAATCAACTGAGAATTAAATGGAACATCAGCAGCATTTATACATTTCGAATAACTTTCACTATTTTATAACTTTAACATTCTTGCAAATATCGCTGATCTGCGTGGAAAATTGACTGTTGTTAGACATAGGGTAGAGGACTTAGAAAAACAAAATAACCTAGAAAAATGTCTTCATTCAAGTTTTTCTGTTTACGCAGGACTATGTCCAGTGGGCACTGTTACACCCTATCTTAATGATAGTTTTGACATGGTGACTGTAGGACAGAGTTGCTCGATTTAAGTGTAAAACCATGGATGGTGGGGGACAACGATTGCTGTCCGGTATGCAACTCTCAAGAAAAAGAGGATATCATTCACTTTTTGGGGACTTGCCACATGTTCAGTGAGTTAAGAGAGAAATGTTTTGGGCAGCGGACCTGTTCTCCAGAAGAATTATTTGGTTTCTTAAAGGGTTCTAACTGGAAAGCCTTAAGCAATTATATACAGCAGGCCACACTGCAAAGATCTCAATTAGTCATAGTATATATAGGATAGTAAACTATTTATACAATATTGTGTTTGTTTTATTGTTATATTGTATTTGATGATGATTATTATTATTGAATTTAAATTTCTTATTTATTGGATTTGTGATGTATTAATGTTTGTTTTTTAAAACTCTATTTAAACAGATGAGACAGTAAAAAAGAAAATTGCTAGAATGGATGTATAAAACCATAATAATACTGTAGACATATTATTGCTCGTTTATTTTAGTTATAAATGTGATGAATATTTATTAGTAATTACACACAGACCTCGACAGACGGAATTTTCCATTGTCTATGTGTTGTTGCTTGTATGTATATATATATATATTACTTTGTGCAATTTTTTAAAAAGTTAGAATATAAAAATAAACATGTTTTCATTCAACTTTAACATTCAAAATTATTATAATATTAAATTTAACAAATCTTGATTCATTAACCATTACAGCTCCATAAATTAATTGAAATTTGTGGCCAGTAATGAATGAAACACACCAATAAATGAATTTATTTGTGTTTAATTCATTACAGACCACAACCCTCATCCAGCTTCCTACAATTAGTTCTACAGTCAACCATATCTCAAGTATAATATATACATTATATCTTTCTTTCAGATACCGAAAATAGAAAGTGCTTGAGTTGCTCCGAGAACTGTGCAACTTGTCAAGAGAGCCCGAACCAATGCACTTCCTGTGAAGCTCATCTAGTCTTTTATAACCATTCTTGTTTGCCTTCTTGTCCAACAGGAACATTTGAAAACAGACACCAAAGGTAAGGAACCGCTCTGCTTCATTATTTTTTAAGTGAATATCATATTTATATTTTAATATTATTTAAATATTTTAGACTGCATTTCAGTCAGATAAAAATACAACTTAATTATTTAACGAAATAATTCTACTCAGCCATATATTATTAATAATCTAACGAAAAGATTAAAATAACAAACTGAAGCCATTTGTAAATAGCAGTCATTGCATAATAATATCAAATATTCTCATGTTTTTTTTATTTTAAACTCGTATTGAATTGAATGAAATAAGCTTAAGATGAAAAAAAAAATAAATCTAATGAAAATTGGATTATTAAAATTTTTTTTTCCAGGTGTGTAGAATGCCATCCTTCATGTACAGCATGCACAGGGCCTAAACTGAAAGACTGCATCATGCGACAAACAGAGATGTTCTGCTCTGATGGAAATTGCTCACAATGTCCTCAAGGAATGATCAGGCAGAACAACTCATGTGTTACTGCCTGTGATATTGGGTACTTTTTACAACTATTTCACTTATATATTATATATTCATTTATAAAAAATCCTAATTATATATATAAAAGTATCATATCTAAAGAGGATTTTTTTTTTTTTTAATGATCTACAGTTGGTAGAACCAGACCTGCACTTCTAGTATGCTTGTATGGGAACATCAAAGTTTTCCCCACTCCCAATCACTTCATCAGTAACACTCATGATGTTGTAGGAACAGATAAACTTTTCCACTGCGCAACATATTTCTGGCTCATGAAGAAATTCAAGCAATGGAAATTTTCCAGCGATTAACTGCACATTTTGGCAGTGATCAAACATTGTCAATAGTAAGTGTTTGTCTGGCATAAAAAATTCAAGGAAGAATGAAAACATGTGAAAAATCAGCAAATGATCGCAGTCCTTGGACCAGTAATACAGATGAAAACATTCATACAGTTCGAGACATTGTTGAAGATGATCGATGGTTGAGAATATCATAAATCTATATAAAATATGCCAGAAGACAAAACAAATTGTGATTTCCATTTGTTTAGACCACTTAAAGAAGCTCTAGGAGGGCAACAACAGCATAGATTAAGGAAGTTCGCAAAGATCTAGAGAAGTCCAACATCCAGATGCTGAATAGGAAAACTTTTCAGACCATGATTCAGGGTTTGGTTGGGTTTCAAGTAGAGAGAACTGGAAAAGCTTGGACTGAAGCAGCGGCACGACATTCATATGAAGGAGTACAAGTGGAAGAGGAAACTTCATAAAAAAAATAAATGAAATTGTTGCGTGGTCCTAAGTGGTCAATGCGGAAAAAAAAAATCCCATTTATATTTGATTCACTTATGTATAAAAATTAATTTATTATTATTAATAATTTAATGGTACTTATTTGTTTTTTTCTCTAATTGAAAGGTGGTATCGATGGGGAAACGTTTGTAAGAAATGTTGGCCTGGATGCACATCCTGCTTCGGAGGTAGACGAGATGAATGTATCAAGTGCACAGAAGGAAGATCACTGGCGCGAGGTCAATGCCGCTTACACTGCCCTCGTAACATGTACAGTACTCCACATGGCTGCGCCAACTGCCATCACTTCTGCTCGACTTGCAACGGTAAATTATTAATATCTTTATTTAATTTATAATAGATATGAGAGCAGTATATCTTAATGGGTAAGGCACCAAATTCCAGGACTCAAGGTTCTGGATCAAATCTGGCTAATGGCAGGTAATTATTTATTCTGTTTCATCAGCCATGGATCGAACCTGGGGTCAGGAAACCCTCCTGGGGTATACCCAGTCTCTATAATGTAGGTACTTTTAATAAAATAATTAAGGAGGAAAACCTAGAGGTGATCCTGGCCCAATCACAAAAACTATTGGCTTTGAAACAGTGCTTCCTTACTAAGTACTGAACTCAAGATCCTTCATGGGTTGTTTTTATTTAGTTATACCTCTCTTTTTAGGATTCTGCCATTAGACAGTTATCAATCCACAAAGTCCTTGCAGTAAAGGTAGCTATATGATGTTACTTGCAGCAGAAACTCTCAATTTTTCACTCAGCAGCTTGACACTCAATGCCTCATAAACGTTGCAGGCAACGACATGGTCTCTGCTATATCACTGTTTCTGAAATTTGTAACAAATACTCTGTGAGACCCAGTAGTCCAGAAGAACTTATTTTGCTTCTAGTTGTGGCTTAATGATAGGAATATAGTTTCCCCTGCCTATTCCATTCTTCGATTGCATCCTCCTGGCTATTCTTTTCCCAACTCCTGTGGCCTGTTGTCAAACAAAATTTGCAATATCTTCCTTTCTCAGGTTTATTGGGATACATATTCCTACAAGAATGATAGTCATCTTAGAGTCTACAAATAGAATATTTTTGTTACGTTTGAAAAGTTAAATTGTGCGAATTTACCAATCAAAATTGGCACATTTCCCAATAGGTCTCGAAATGGCAAAGCTTTGATACAACTGCACCTCCATTGTGACCATCATTGTTCATGTGAATTCAAGGAGAGCTGGGATAATATTCAGTCATTAATGCAAGACCAAAGGATCTTAATTCATCTATGGTATCAGTTGGAATCAGTTTTGCACTTGCAGTTAGATTGAGGTCATGATGGTCGTGTGTTCAGACATTGACCGCTTTAATATTCTTGAGTCTAACACAGGAGTCTTTAAACATTTTGGCCCACTGGGCCGCATTGAGACCTCCTATGTCCTGCTGGCCATGGCTTGTTACGAAAACAAAAACTTTTTCTATAAATAACCCTTAGTTTGTGAAATGAGCTTTCTAAGAGAACAAAAACATGCAATAAATGTTGTAATTTACCTCACACCTCGTGTTTGAGTAATGTGGTATATTTCATAATTTTTTAATAAGTTTAAAAATTTTACTATGCAAATCAAAAAAACTTTTGCAGGCTGGATTGGAAGTGCTTGTAGATCCGCTCCACAGGCTTTATTTGGAGACTACTCGCCTAATGAAACTGTTTTTCATGGCAAACCCACAGAATGAATCTCGACCCTCCCATTCTTGTCAGAATTGGTTTGATTATACCTCTAGAACCCCTCAAATCTAATGCCAGAAGTTATAAGGAAGGGGGTAACCAGATAAAAATAGCAGTTGAATTCCAGTAACAGATCAGCTCTTACAATACTTAAGTGAGATCAACTCAGTGAGGGAAATACTGAAGGAACACAAGTACATTTTGACATTTCAACCAGATTTTGAAAAAAATTAAATCAACAAGAAAGTATCAGCAATTTAAATTCAAGTTTCAAATAATATAAAATCATGTAAAAAAACTAATTAATTATTAATCATGGCCATACCACAAAAACTAGATCAATTTACCCTCTTTTTTCTTTTTACTTCATGTTCAGGCAAAATTTCCTGATAAAAAAATGATTTCATGCTTACATTGTAATTTTTTTAATATATAAATTCATTTTTTTTTCTTAAATAAATTATATATATATGGAATTATTTTATTATATTTGAAAATCCAAGAACCTTGAAAATATATCATTTTATTTTTGAGAATTTTATTATTATAAAAATGTTTTTTAGAAAATTAAGCTAAAGAAGAATATGTTTATGTTTACAGGTGGAGGAGCATACGCTTGTACAACATGTGCCAGACAGAGGTACCAAGACGACAGCACTGGCCTGTGCTATTCTTGCCATTCAAGTTGCAGCGAGTGTGCAGGACCGGGGGCTGAGAATTGTACCGTTTGCGATAAAGGCAGCTTACTCCACGCTGGCACTTGCATACCATCGGCTTCTTTATCGCAGCTTTCAGTTAGCCAGCTTAGTAAGTTCATATTGTTTAATTTTTTTCTTATAATTTTAGAAAGTGAAGGATTAATAAAAAAATAACTTTGATTAGATTATAATTGGCAAAATATAAACAAGTGATAAACTCTCTCATGTTAATGCGTCATTTTTGGACAGCTAACGAGATGAGTTACATTTTGTCTGTATTTTATTGTTTTCTGTCCAGATGCCTCAATAGGAAAACGTTGACAATTGGTTTGTCTTACCATCATCATTTTAGATAATCGTGGCTATATATCTAATTTTTTTAAATGATGACCTAATATTTAATTTATATCTCTTTTTGAATTTTTGCTCTTGTATTAATAAGAAATATTCCTATGATTACATGATGGTAGTTCAGAAACATGTGGTAAAATAAATATAATTTAAAAAAAAAAGGTAAAAATTAAAATACAGAGTAATATGAATTTCGGTATCCATTAAAATATATACCAATAATTCGACCTAAAAAAAAAAGAAAAAGAATGGATAATTTTTTTACGAAAGAGGAAAAGAGAAAAATTTCTGACAGATTGCCTGTTTGTCAAATTGATGTAATTTTTCTTAAGGAAAATATGGGAAATATTTTCACTGGTTGAATACCAATTAACAGAAATAAGGAGTAGTAAGACTGATATAAGATGTACCATTGGAAAGTTAATGGTTTTAGAAAAATGAATATCTAACAAATAAGGTTGTAGAAGGTAGGTTTTGTAGTTGATAAGGTTTTTCCTGAATTTTTAACTTCTTTTTTTTCATATAAAATATGAAAATATCTTCAGATTTAATTATTTTGGTAACTATTTAATTATGTTTGAATACATACATAATTACACTATAGTTGAATATAGTCAGCCTAATACAGTTGTTCATTATTTTTAATATCATGTTCCATATTAAATATGCTGAGTTACTAAAAACTTTGTAAAATTTTTGTACAGAAGAAATGACTCATTCCGCTGCTGCTGGTAAGAGGAGAAGCTATGAAATGTTTACTGCCGAAGAACCTCAGTATAGGAGAACTAAACCGCCCGAATATTCACCATTTGTCACTGTTACGATTATTGCCGTCATAGCTTGCCTTGCAATACTTATTCTTTTCGCTTTGTTATTTGCTACGCTTCAAGTGAGATGAGGTAATTATTATCAATGTTAAAATTTAAATTTTCTCATTTTTTATTTTTATATTAATGTGTAAATCTATGCATCAATTAAAGAGTCCTCATACCAGACTTAAAATCGCTCGACTTTTCCGACTACTCCAGCACTGACCTCACAAACGCTCTAAGCTTTCAGTTAATTATAAAAGACTCATATACATGACTACAATAAGACCTATTTGGACATAGGGAGTTGAGATTTGGGGGTTCACAAAGCCATCGAATTCCTCACGCTTCCAATCCTAACAATACAAAATCCTTCGTAAAATCCTCAATGCTCCTTACTTTTTCACTAATAAAATCATCCATAAAGACCTTAATGTTCCTTATGTTTCCGAATTGGCCCAATCCAGATACCTATCCTTCCATAACAAACTTCTAAATCATCCGAACCCTCTTGTTTCTAACCTTGCTCACTCCTCGATCCCTGATAACCCCCCGAGGCATCTGAAAAAAAGATGGCATCGAGATCTCCTATTGTAAATAATTTTTTTTTTTTTTTTTTTAAATTATTTACAAACTAGAATGCCCAACCCGCCAACAGGTATACATTGAAGAAACTTCTAAAAAAAAATGAAAGTACATCTTTCAAACTGTAAAAATATTAACAACATTGCACTAGCACAACATTGAATAAAAATGTAATAACTTTAATAACCCACAAATAATAGGTACTGTACAAAAAATAATATTAGAAAACTATCAGAGGACATCTTCATCAGAAAAAACAATAGCTTAACTGACAATTTTAAAATTGATACCTAACACCAAGAAACCAGAGATGGAGTATCAAGTACCAAGTATTTTACTCAAATTGAATCACTATTGGGAATTCAAGCACTATTTCAATTAATCCTTTGAAATCGACTGAAGTAATAATTAAATTCTTTGGTACTCAAAAAAGGTCAATATTTGAGTAAAATACTCGGTACTCGGTATTACAATAAGGTTCGAAATCGGTTTTGTACCAAATATAAGCTCCTGTCATGCTCAAATACCATGAATGGAGTACCGGTGGATTCAAAATTTCATGGGGGTTAGCAAATCGTATTTTCTGCTCTTGTTTTCTTTCTAAAATAAATAAAGTCGATACAAACATTTTTCTGCACTTCAATACTGGAACGGTGGTGAGTCTGTAGATCGATACGGAATAAATCGGGTCTTTGTTGTGGTGGTGGTGGAGGGTATGGATATGTTAGTAAGAGTGGAAGGAGGTTTGTGTAGTGTTGGGAGGGGGGGTTGGAAATTGTGAATTGTAGTGGGGGAGTTGAATATATTAAGGTATGGGTGGGGGGGGTGAGAGGATTGGTTGGTTGGGAGATGGAATGAGGGGTGGGGTGGGGAGAGTTGGGTGAGTGTGTGGGTGTGGTGGGGTGGTGGGTTGGTGGAGGGGGGGGGGTGATGATGTTGGAAGGATAATTTGAGATTGGTGGGTGAATAATTGGGGGGTTGGAGGAAGGAGAAGGATGAGGATTTTGTGGAATTGATAAAGTTTTGGATGGATTTATTTGGGTGGTTTGTTTTGTTTAGGGTGGGGGTTGTTAGTTTTATGGTATATAGGGGAAAGGGGGGTGGAAATGGTTGTGTTATTTTGGTTAGTTTTGAGAAGTATTTGGTTTTTTTTTGATGAGTTGAGGTATTGGGGGTGATTTGTGTATGAGGTAGGTTTGGGGTTATGGGGGGGGGGAATTTATTGATTGTTGTGGGTTTGGGGGGTTGGGTGGGGGGTGGGTTGGGAGATTGGTGTGGGTGGTAGGTGTTTTTTGTTATGTATTAGTTTTTTTGTGGTAATTTGATGTGTTTTGGTATGTTGTATATTGAGTGGTAATTAAAATGGTTGATATATTTTGGGGTTTTTGTTTGGGGGTGGAAGGGGGAGATTTTTTTGATGATGTTGGTGTTATTTTTATTAGGGTATGATGTTGAAGGTGTGTTGTTGGTTGAGTTTTGTGGATGGGGGTAATAGGTTAAGTGGAGGGGGGTTGTTTTAGCTTGGATATGTATGGTCATTTTTATTAATTGTTGGGTAGTTTAAGCATTATACAAAATAAAAAAAAAATACCATAAAGCAGATCTGATGATGGAAAAGATATTCCTAAAACATTAACATGTATATACATGTGACAAATATAATGATTATATGTGACAAAGGAAGTTTTTTTTATCAAACTCATGAAAAAAATTCTTGTTTCATTTTACAAATACGCCTCATCACTAAAAATACACATTTTATTATTTTATCATGACCTTTTTCACTATTATATTATATTTTATTTTTCCAATCTAAGTTATATGGTAATCTTCAAAAATGAAATTAAAAAATTTTGATTTATTTTTATTTGTTTTAGATCCGGTCCGAGAGGTCATACGTGGCTGGTTCGTCGATCCAAAAAAGAAAAACACAGCCACGGAACAAGTTACCCACAAAGTCTTAACTTAAAGCTGCTATCTATTGACCCAACCAACTCGTGGCCTTCTATTGTCTTAACGTTAGAGGTAACAGAAAGGAATCAAGCTCAGCATGGTACTGCAAAAGCATGTACCATGTACCAGACTCATTGCTATCTCTAGGCTACTGTCCATGTGATTCAAAATTCGAACATGTACATACCTATGTGTAAAAAAAAAAAAATAATAATAATAATATGTCAGATTCAACTGTAAATATTTCATATCCGTTGTAAAGCTGTGCTGTATTTATGATTATCTTTAACACTGGCTCTAAATTAAAGTATAATTTTACCCTTTATAAGGGGTTGAATATTGTGATTGTATATAGTTAGTTATATGTGTGACCTGTAACATTTTGGCAACATCCAATTCGCTTAAGTAACATTGAGGAAAAACTTTTGTAATTTATATACGTTAATGGCAAAGGTAGCTGATGCTGTTTACTTTAGGCATGGTTGTATATTATATGCATTTTATATGTTTATATTTGATATTAATTTTTTTTTTGCTTATATCAAAAGCATCAACCCTTTGGCCATCCTCAATATGATGTGTAGTTGATACCTTATGAGGAAGCATTTGATGTTTAATATTTATCTAAATTAGTAATGGGTGTTTATTTGTGTCTATAGATGCATTGCATATTTACTTATACTAAGTAAATATTTAAAAAAAATTATAAGTACAGTCGAACCTTCAAACCTCTATATATATCAAACATGAAGATTTCTTAAAAAAAAAGAAAAATTGAAACTACAAAATTTTGGTACTAGTTAACAGGTGGTTCATCTTGTAAATAAACTTTCATTTCCCTAGTTATTTACACCCATAACTTAAAATTAATTTTAAAACAAATCCCTCGGGCTCTGGATACAACTTCTTCAGGATGTCTTCTGCTGTTGAGAATTTTTGGAATAAATTAATTCTTAAGTGACATTTTGTAGTAAGAATTGAAGTGAACATGAAATTTTGAAATGGTTGAATATACTTTGAATGAATTTGACTTATCTTGGTATTTTTTATATTCATTCCTGAACAACAAAACTAATTTATTCTAACAAAATAATCAAATACTGAATAACAATTAAAAATTTCATAATTTCAGTATTACGATGATTTGACCTTCCTATTATATTCTTGAAAAAGGCTCCATTATATAGCGATGGGGTGACCAAGAGTTGTTACCAGAAACTTTCTTGTTCATGTCCCAGGTTCAAGTAATCCACTCTTCCTCTCACGCTGGTATCCCTCTCCAACTCTTCTCTTTCCCCATCATCATTTTGAGAAATGGTTTTTAAATTACCATTTTGACCTATTCTTAGATTATAAATTATTTATTTATCAGTATTTATATTTAGAAATCTTGTATCCACTCTAACAATCATTTAATAAACTAGAGCCTAACAATCGTTATCGGTAACACTCCGGTCTGCTCCTACCAAGCTCGTACTCCATCTATTCTTCATTCACCAATTGTTTAACAAGCATTTTACAATTTTCATTCAACAACTTGTTCACATCAAAACTGAATCAAATTCAATTGATTATCATTCCCTCTCTTAATATCACTTGAGTTTTTTGGGGGAGGGTCTTCTCTTCCTCGCCTTTAAGGCTATATGGGGTTTTCCTGGGCCAGGTGGTGAGGGCAGGGATTTAAAAGAATCTTCTGGCACTGGGACGTGAACTCATGAATATTTTTATCCAATTATCTTTATCAGGTTGCCGGGCAATGGCGGTGCTGTGCACACACGTTAGTCCGTTCTGCCACCCCGCCCCCAACAGGGATACGGTGGAACCAGTCAGGAACCGGGAACTTTCATTATATCAGAATATTATTCCCACTACACTATAAGAGTGATTAATATCACTTGAGATATAACTAAACATTTCCTTGTGAATTCCTTTCTAATACCTCAAGAGTTTAACGCTTATAAAGTAGGGCATCCGCTACAATTGATGTTTATTAACAATTCCAGTTTATGTTAAGAATTTTAACTTTAATATTGTTTTGATATAATCTCTTTTCTTTTTTAAAAACTTAATGATCAACCTTTCGAGCTCTTATTCATCTTCATTACTACATTTCTTTTCTTGCAAATTTTATATTTATAAATTAATGGATAAATCAACTTCTGTCCACAATTTATTTCTTAGAATATCTGGAGATATTCACCATTATTATTAATTATTATTCTTTGTTGTTGTCATTTTGTTCAAATCAATTTTTAAATGACATGCACATTTTATATTTGTTTTAACTATGACATTTTGTTTGATATATAGAAATTTTATTTGATCTACAGAAATATTTTTCTATAAAACTTAAAGGTCCCTAAAAAAAATTCAATCAATAGAGATTTTCAATATATGGAAGTTGGATATTTGGAGGTTCAACTGTAACAAGTTTAATATTAAAATGTAAATGAGAAGTTTATTAAATCTGCAAAAGAAACTTTCACTAAGCCTACACTCAATATTTATTCATATTCTAACTTACCAAGTAACGGTTGTGTTCTAGATATTATGTTAATTTTGTATCTATTTACTATTTCCCGATAGTTTGTTTAAAAAAAATATATATGTAATACTAAATATATTTATTATAGATTGTGAAAGACTGATTGCAGTGGCCACTATTACTCAGTTTCTTTATCCCGTGTTGATGGGATTATATATGTGCATTATGTAAAAAAAAAAAAAAGAAATAAAAGAAAAAAATAAAGAAAAATTTAAATTATATTTTTATCATATGTTTAGCGACGTACCAGTCGTTCCGAATTCTCGAATAAGCGGCCTACTGCACTTAACGCCAATAAAGGTCACACATTTATTAATGTTAAATTTTTTATAATTGAGAAAGTAATTGAAAAAATATATATATATGTTCTTTGGTATTTTGAGCAAACATATTTTAAAAAGAGAAAGAATTTAGTTAACATGTAAATATGATAAATGTCACATTGTTAAGTATTAGTGTACAAACGGTGTATTTGTAAAATAAAATTATTTAAAACTAAAGATTAACGAGTTAAATATCTATCCTTTTTCTTCCAAATACATTCAATAACATTTTATATTAGGGCTTACAATAAGTTTTCACTGTTTTCAAACAGATAGAAGCACCAGTACTACGTCTCTTTCATATCAAATGTATATGGCCTGGCTGAGCAACACTCCATTCGTAAGAAGATACTAAAAAAATGATTAGATTCATAGATAGCCTTAAAAGATAAGTTGCTTTTCTGACATGGAATTCATACACTGCCAGAAAGATGGAAGAAAGCTGTGGCTAGTGATGGGTAATACTTTAAGTGAAGTGTTTTTTTAAATAAAGCATTAATTTTCACAAAATTAAAAGATCTAATGTCATGAATGTAACATTTGCAAGAAACTCTATACAAAATACGATTAGTAAAGCTACTTACTTTACTGACCTACCTACCTAGTACAGCTAGGAAAGTAACAAATCGACATAATAAGTAAAAAATAAAATAAAAAATTATAAGTTACCTTCTAGCTTTAATCAATTAAAAAAAAATCAAAGAAAAATTAAATAAAAATAATTAAAACAAACTAATAATTTATGTACATATTTGCAATTTTAAAATTTGATGGGGACTGAATACTTAGAAAGTGATTGAGCAGGCAGGATTTAAAGGCAGAGAGAATACTTGAGAGTTGGATGTAGGAAGGGATAGAATTATATAGGGATGAGAATTGAATAATGAAAGATCTGTCAAAAGCAGCAGTTCGGTGGACCCTTGGAATTAGGATGGCTCTTCCCTTCCTTCCGAAGACAATATTTCCTAGGCACATTCCTTTACCAAATAATCAATAGTCATTGTCCGTCCTACGCATACAATCTCCTACAATTCAAATCATCTATCCACACCCTCTCCACAAGATCTCGTCCTTCTGACCTTTACACTCCTTTCCACAGATCTGCATCATTTAAACATTCCTTCGTTGTCCGTTCCACCGCATTCTGGAATTCCATCCCACTAAAAATCCGCCATGCATCATCCTTAGCCACCTTTAAAACCCTCTTATTCCAATTCCTCTTCACAATCCAATCAGATGCTGGTTAAATACATACTATGTAATAAGGATTTAATTTTCTTTTGACATTATTTTTTTCTCTTATTTTTATTGTTTTATTCTGTGTTGAACGTGAATTTTCATCACCACTCACTAAGCATTGTGAGTAGATAAAATTTGTTTTCCTTAAGAATTGTTTCAGTGAAATGTATTTTATTTCTAATTATCTTCAATATATAAATCTGAAGACCGAGAACGATAGAGATTCCTTGGGATTCCAAAGATGAATTGTACAAAGCAATTTATCAAACGTTGTAGTTTCACTTCGAGATCCCCAGAGATGCCTCCCTACAACAACATTTTCTTTGAAAGCATTGATAGCATTGAGGCTTCTTGAGTTTATACGACCCATAATATGTTTATTCGTAGTTTGGAGTACAACATATTTACAGTCACAATGAGGACTGTAATATACACCTTTATTGGAAGCGAGTAGAAAGGTTTTAATAAATTAATGTTGAACAATTAAAAGGCAAAATAATCTAGTTCTACTAGTGCAGGGAAAAGAAAATGGCTGCTCTGTAGTATCCCAAGATGGAAAATCCCAAAGATTTTTGTTTTGGCGAGTAGTTGTTGTGTGATTGCAGTGAAGAGAGGATAGGAGAAGTGATCCTGGCTCCAGTGGAGAAAACCCAGTAATAGTTTTACCTTCTTAGAAGTTCTTGTTTGGCAGGGAAAATGTTGTGTCAAAATTTCTTTGTAATGTTTCAGCCACCATCGCTCATGAAACAAATCAGTAAATGACCTCCTTGCAATAGGCAGATTCGTTTTAAATAAGTTATGTACTTCATTCTTCATCAAATATACTAATGTGCCTACTAAAAGTTCTGAACTTGAAAAGAAATTGGAGAAAGGATAAAAATTAAATACAATTAATTTCAATTTTTTTGTATTTTCTTTTTTCATATAGCAAAAAAATTAAAACAATATCATACAAATAAATTTATAAAACATATAGTCGTATTAAACACTTTTTAAAAACTAAAATATCAACAATATACAAACTTTCAATTAGTAACAAAAGAAAAGTAGCAATAGGTAGTTGTATTTAGAAAGCATAATTAATTGACAACATTAAAAAATAAATAAATAAAATGCAAATGAATATAAAAAAGTTAAAATACAAATTAACACATAAAAAGAAATAAGCATGCAAATTTATTAAAAATAAATGTGTTAATATATAAAAACACTAGAAGATTAACAGTTAATTTAATTGACAACATGAACCAAAAATAAAGCTAACTGGTTTGGTAACAGACATTTTCGGCATTAAAATGTAGTTTTTAATTAATACATTTTTATATTTGTTTCTAAAAAATGTAATATTACTTCAAATATTTTAATATACATCTTATATCATTCATCAGGAATAGTATAGAGTATACAATTTGCACAGTATAAACATTATCGAACATGGAAAACATAAATGAATATGGAAAAAATGGTTGGGAAACATCAAACCATAAAGTTGGCAAAAATTGTAATTTTAAGAAATAATCTTATTTAATAACAAAAATATTTATATGTTTGAGGGAAATAATATTTGCTAGATTTCATAAAAATACAATCTCAGAATTCAGCAAAATAGTTTTGAATTGAACATTATTAATTTTCCTTTAGTTAAAAATAAAAATCTGAGTATAACAAGTCAGAGAATAAAAGCAGATAAATTAGAATTGTAGTGTGAAGGAGAGGGCTACAATTTTAATGTTTGGTAAACAACGAAATTGTAATACTGAAGAGTAGATTATGGATTTTTACTTTTAACACATGAATGAATTAGTGTTTTAGAAGTGCTACAGATAATTTTGGAATACAATTTTTTAATAAGATTTATGCAATAAGATTTTTTTTTAACATAAATTTCTCACATGCTCAATTTCTTGTTTCACATTCGCAATATACAGAATTTTCTAGTAGAACTGCCAATATGGTCTGTTGGAAAACATTTTATCAATAATTAACAAAATTAATAATTCATAAACAAAAGTATTTAGGTTTAAAACGCTAATGTAGCTCAATCAGTTCAAGATTTTGATATTGAGATTAAACTGACATGTACCATATAATGGACCACAATCATATCTGTTTATATATATGATTATGATGATATGTTTATATGATGATGATGACGTTGTCTGTACATCTTGATAGACTTTACAATATCTCAATTTTCTATTGAACTATTCTATTCGCAATATCTTAATTTTACCATTTGTTTTCATTTCTTATATAACTTCATATTCCTTTTTTTCTGTTTTACATTTTATTCTAAGATTCCCATTTTAATACTTATGTCACCTTTTTTTATTATGTTTACTTCGTCATTCCACACTTTGTAACGGTTATTATTTTTTATCTCTTAGTTCTTACTACTGTCATTATTTTAACAACTTCATTTTACTTTAATTTTTTTACCTACACTACTTATGTTTCTCATACCTTGTTATCTGGTTCTTTTCTTAGCCCTGATGAAGGCCTGAACTTCAGGTCGAAACGTCGGCAAATGTCAATATAAATATTATCATTTATTTTTGCCTTCTTATTTGACTGATCACCCCAACTATTCTTCTCTTCATTATTATATATATATATATATTGTAAGGTTACGTTCCCTTCAAAAGTGAACAAAACAGTTTCTTAATCAAATAATATTTATATTACATAATAATTAATTTCCAGGTTGGATTGAAACAACTAAAACGCATCCTCAATTATACAATATAAAAATATACATTAATCGTACATAACATTTATGAATTTCCATTCATTTGTCGGGGTCTCATCTTGGTACGCTTTCGAACTGTCCATTTATACTTCACTCGCCCTGTTCTGTAGTGAATCTTCTTCTATCTTGCTGTGTTTAACTTCTTTCAATCTTCTAATCTTCCTTTGTTGATAGTCACTTCTTATTCTCATTCTCACTTACTTGTTAACTCATTTTCTTCTCACGATCCTATCTACTAGCCGGCTGGCTACCTTCTGCCCTCTCCTTTGGAACTCTTTCTCCACCATCTATCATTCTCTGTCCATTTTTGGCAGTAGTTCTTGATGTCGCTACCTTCGCGCCACTATTCAAAATCACTATGTAATATTTACATTACAATATATTTTTTGTTAGCATGATGGACCTTTTGCCGCCTTAATAAGATTACTCCATTTCTGCCTATTTTGCGATATTTCTTCCCAGTTAACTTCATGCAGTTATGTAATGTATCTTTATTGTTTTGATATATCCATCTGATTTCTGGCCACCCAAGGGGTCTTTTGACAACTATTGAGGCATTCATTGTCATGGATTGCTCTTGTTTTATATACATATATGGATTTATACATGTCTATTATAAAATCTGATAAAAGATCCTGAAACGGATAGATAATCAGGTCTGAGGTATTTACACGCAAGCGAATAAAATTTGCAATAACACGGAAATGGATTTATATTCTCTATTATTAACAATCATGAAACTTAATTACACATATATTTGAAAAGGTATGACAAATAAGCATATATCTTGTTTTATCAGTTCTATATATGTAAATAAAGGTATCTATCAGTTCTATGAGGTATCTCGTCATGCTTCAGCATCAACCACTATTAAATGCAACTGCTTTCCAATAAGAGATAACAATTAGAGCTCGGGCATCTGAAGCAATGAATTTCTCCCAGCAAAGCCGCAATCTACCAGTGAAGTGAACTCAAAACATTTTCTCTCAGGTGTAATATATTTACCATCATAATGAAGACATTAATAAGGATGTTTTCTATAAATATCTCTGCAAATTTTTAGGTATAACAGATTTTGACTCAGAATAAAGACATAGATGAGTTTCCAATCTGCATGACGATCATTATATGATTTCATAATATTTTTAAAAAACATATGACAAATTAACAATCCTTTATATATCATTTCATATTTTAAATAATGACAGATATAAAACAAGAGCAGTGATGAGGTCCTTAAGTGTATAATGAGCCATGATATGTCTTTTCATATTTTAAAATGCAGCAGCTTTATAGCGGCAATGATGACGCCTTTCATCAGTATGAGGAGTCATTATCTGTTTTTTCAATTCTCCTAATATAACAGATTTATAGTAACAATGAGAACAGTGATAAGGCTTCTCACAAATACATATGATGAGCCATAACATGACTTTTTAATTCTTGAGATTTGACAGATTTAGTCACAATGAAGATATTGAGGAGGCTTTTTATTTTTATGATGAACTTTTATGTATGTTTTCAAATTGTGAAATGCAACAGACTTTATATTCACATTGTGGACATTGGTGAGACATCTAAAGTGTATGATAGGCCATTATGTGTCTTTTCATAGAATGAGATTGTACATATTTATAATCACAACGGATATAGTTACAATATCATTGATGAGGCTTCTCATCTTTATGATGAACTTTTATGTGCTTTGTCAAATTTCGAAGTGTAACATCTTTATAATCACAATGAGGACATCGATGGAGCTTTTCATCTTCATGGTGTAGTTTTATGTGTCTTTTCAAATTGTGAGATGTAACAGATTTGTGGTCACATTGAGTACACTGATAAGATTTCTGAAATGTATGCTGAGCCATTATATGGTTTTTCAATACATGGTGTAAAAAAGATTTATAGTCACAATGAGGACATTGATGGGGTTTCTTACGTGTATGAAGAATCATATGTCTTTTCAAATTTTTGGATGAATTGGATTTGTAGTCACAATGAGGACATTTATGAGACTTCTCACCTGTATGACGGCCAATTATATGTTTCTTCAATTCTCCAGAAGTAACAGTTTTATAGTCACAATATAGACAGTGATAAGGCTTCTCATGTGTATGATGAGCCATAATATGTCTTTTCATAGATCGAGATTGTACAGATTTATAGTCACAATCTGGGCATTTATGAGGCCTCTCATCAGTATGACAAGCCATTATATGTGTTTTTAATACTCCTAATGTAACAGTTTTAAAGTCACAAGTGTGACACTGATGAGGCTTCTCAAGTGTATGGTGAGCCATAATATGTCTTTTTACATTTTGCAATATAGCAGATTTATAGTCACAATGAGGACATTGATGGGGTTTCTGACCTGTGTGAACCATCATATGTCTTTTCAAATTTTTGAGTGAATTGGATTTGTAGTCACAATGAGAACACTTATGAGACTTCTCACCTGTATGACAGCCCATTATATGTTTTTTCAATTTTCCTGCAGTAACAGTTTTATAGTCACAATAATGACAGTGATAAGGCTTCTCATGTGTATGATGAGCCATAATATGTCTTTTCATAAATCGAGATTGTACAGATTTATAGTCACAAGCAGGACATTTATGAGGCTTCTCACCTGTATGATGAGCCATTATATGTCTTTTCAATTTTCCTAATTTAATAGATTTATAGTCACAATGATAACAGTGATACAGTGACTCACTTTTATGATGGACTTTCACATGTCTTTTCATATGTCCAGGTTGCACTGATTTACAATCACAATGAGGACATTGATGAGGCTTCTCAACTGTATGACAGTCCATTATATGTGTTTTCGAAGTATAAGATTCATTAGATTTATAATCACAGAGTGGATAATGAAAGGACTTTTCACCTTTATGGCAACTATTCTTAACACCTATAAACAATAAATTAGCATAAAAAAGATATAATAAAACTATTATTTGAGGTAATAATAAAAGTATTATATTTAACTAAATATAATCATTATTTCCGTATTTTTTTGGAATTATTAATAAAATGGTAGACTTTTTAAAATTGTTTGCAGTTAAACTATTTTGTATCATTAACTAGTGAAACATCTAAGATGTACTTTAAAATTGTTTTGACAAAATAAAATCAAAGTAAAATAAGGATATTTAATCTCACATAATATTTTTTTGAAGAATTGGGAATACAAATTCTAATAGCCTATAGGTGGACCAACTCCTATTTTACAAATTACACACCCATTAATTTAATTGCACTAATTGTTACTCAAATTCTATAATTGTAATTTACATGTATTCTGTAGTTCAGAGTGTATTATTTTTTATCAACATTTTTTTTTTTTTTTTTTTTTTTTTTATCTATTTATTGAATAATAATACATGCAGCCACTGCTGGAGGGCTATAAGCATTAGGGCTGAAAGTTCTCATTCATACAATATATACAAATAATAAAGAAATAAATATAAATATAAGAAGTAAATAAATAATACTGATGAAGAAGATAAATAAAAAGAAAAGAAAAAAAAATAATAATAATAAACAAATAAAATAAAATAAAAACTTCTAAACACAATCATAACTATATACAATATATACATTCGCCCAAGAATCTCCGAACCAGGCTTTTTCCCCCACACGTGGAAGGCAAAGCAAGACTCCGGAAGATCCCAGCGCCACTTTTCCAGCCGCATCACTAGTATTAGAAGCCAGTGGAGACTGAAAGAGGGCACTAGAGCCACAGACGCTCAGGACATGAGTGGAGAAGCTGGCCATTGCCAGGACTCCAAAGGCATATTTACAAAAGATCTCGAGGCCACTGCCGTTTCAACCTTCGAGGGGGATGGTATGGATGCTCGGAGCTGGATAGGGATTGGGCTAGAGGATTGGGATGATGTATGAGGTTCTGGTGAAAGTTGGAGAATCTGGATGGGATGATGTCATGGACATATGGGATGTTAAGGTCATGGTGTAGGGTCTTGTTCGTGACATAATATGGAGCATTGACTATTGTTCGAAGGACTTTAGACTGGAAGGATTGGATGCGTTTGATATTCGATGATTTAGTTGTCCCCCACAGCTCAAGTCCGTAGGTCCAGATAGGTTTCAGTATGGTCTTGTAGATTAATAATTTGTTTTCTGTTGAGAGATGAGATGTTCTGTTTAGTAGTCTATATAGCTGACCAAATCGTCGGTTAAGCTCTTGTCTTTTAAGTCTCGTATGTGGGTTCCAAGTCAGTCTTTTGTACAGAAGGAAGCCAAGGTATCGAACTGTGTCTGAGTAGGGAAGAGGAATTGAATTAAAAAGGATTGGCGGACAGGATCTGCGTCGAAGAGTAAAAGTTACATGTTTACATTTTGATTCATTAATTTTGATGCGCCAGTTGTTGCACCATTGTTCTATTAGGGAGATGTGTCTTTGAAGGTTTAGGGATGCTGTTTCAGGGTCTGGGTGGGAAGACAGGATGGCGGTATCGTCAGCAAATGTTACTTAGATTATTAACTTCACGATTTTAAATAGTTTGAGACTGACTACCACCACTGCTCAATGAAGGAGAGGTGTCTTTGCAGGTTCCGGGACGCAATTAGAGGATCCGAGTGGGAGGATAGGATGGCAGTATCATCAGCAAATGTTGCTAGGAAGGTATCAGGACTTGAAGGGATGTCAGCGGTAAAAAGGATGTAGAGAACTGGGCCCAAGAACTTTTATCAACATTAAATAAATGGAATGAAATCACAGTTCACAATTTTTTTTTAATTTCTTTAAAAATCTGTATTATACATTGCACCAAATCTGTATCTTTATTACCAATTTGTAACCATAATAAGGGAGAAATAATTCTCAGAATAAGAAATGTGGTGTCTTCATTACAATCCATCCCGCTTTTATTATATGTAAAATAAAATATTATACAGTCACTAAAAACATTTTTACATAATAGAGAGAGTCAATAGAGATAGTAGATTCAAGTTGTGGTTATGATCATTTTTAAAACTAATTAGCAATATAGTTGAACAGTCATTAAATTGATCTGGTCCCTAGTCACAACTAACACAAATACCGTTACTTTATTCTTTAGACTACAATCATTACTTTCACTTACCTATATATGAAATATATAGTAAGGAACAGTATTACGATCATGAAAATTTTCGAATCTGAGTTTTCAATGGAGATAGATGTTTTGAGGTCTCCCGAGTCCAAACAACCAAGTCCTGCAAGATGGTCTGTGTGTGTGCGTGTGTCTGTGTGTATGTATGTGACATGTCTAGCTCAAAAACGAAAAGTCGTATCAAAGTGAAGTTGCATATATAAGGTTTGTATATACCTGAGATATTACAGCAACTTTTTCGTCAAAAACAACTGGAAGTGCCACTTTATATCATCGATGAAACAGATTTTGACTATTTTTTTCCAAAACGGCTCCAACGATTTTGATTAAATTCATCGAAAGTGTGGTGTCATCGTTACAATCTGTCCCAATTTGTATTTGTAAAATAAAATATGACACGGTCACAAAAAACTTTTTTATATAACAGAAAGGTATAACTCACCTCCATCCAAAAGAAGTTCTTCTTGTTTCACTTGAGCGAGCCCGTCTGGCAAAATGAGAATAATAATGAAAAATAGTTAATAAAATATATAATCGCAAATAAAAAATTTAATAACAAAACCTGGACCCCATGGAATTATACATTGGGCTCATAACCAGGAATCTATGTTTGAGTACGACTATAGTAGAGAATTTTTTTCTTTAATCAAGGCTATTTTATATTATAAAGCAATAAAAACTCACAGGATGAACAATCATTTCAGATTGTTGGAGATCTTAGAAATAAATAATATTAACATGTAAATATATTTTGTGTAATATAATTCAAAAATATATATATATTTTTTTATAGATCATAATAAAATAAATATATTCACCTTCATCCGAAAGAAGCAGCTCTTCTTGTTTCATATTTGTCAGCCAGTCTGACAACATAACAATAGTAATTAAAATAAACCAAGAAAAGAGAATAACTTATTGCAAACACAACAAATTTAATAGGAACTCATCAAAACGTATGAGGTGTTCAGTTGGAATTCACCAGATTTGGGTCCCTCTGACTACTGTTTGCCAGGGAGATGGGGATATCTATCTAAAGTGTATAAAACCATCCCTAACATTTTTATGGAATAAACATGTATTTTTGACTAAAAAATTCTGAATTTATATTTACACATCCAGTATGCCACAGTATCGATGCCCCAAAGATTAATTAAATAAATATAGCTCACCTCCATCTGAAAGGAGTTCTTTTTTCACTTGAGAGATCACATCTGCCAACAACAGAATCATAATAACAATTTTCTCATAGAAACGACAAAACATGAAAGTGAAGAGTGATAGGAGATAAATGTAAAAATAGTGAAATATTAAACAGTTATTTAGAAATACGGTCAAATTTAGAATTATGTTCTTTTTATACAACATTCACGCATAAATGTTAACAAAATAAATAAAACTCACCTCCATCTGAAAGAAGCAGTTTTTCTTGTTTAACATGAGTGAGTTCATCTGGAAAAATGAGAATAATAAAAATTTGTTGATATAAATGAAAACAACATGAATGTGCTACATACCATATTACTTATCTCACAAGAAAAAGAATAATGCATTATTAAAAGTATTTACTAATATTGATCTACATAGGAATATTTTATATTATTTTCTATTAAATAAAAAATTATACTAATAAAATTTATAATATCGAGGAAAAAACTTCATTTGGAACGTCTCGATTCGTTGAGACGGCACCATCATATGGTTTGAAACCTCCCACTTTTACACAAATCAAGGTATAAAATTAGGAATCAAAATTACAATTCGAGCACTATATGTGATATTCCCTTTCTACTGATACCTCATTCATCAAAATCCATCACTCCTGAGAGCTATAAAAGGGATATATATTTAAGAAATAATACATAAGATGGTTTTATAAATGGGCTAATGTCTAATAGTAAATCCTCTGAAAGATTTTTGTATATGTTTTTCTAGAAGAAAATTTAAATTATATGTAAAATCAGATTATCTCTGAAGAGGCAAAATTTGGATAAATTTAAAATAAAGTAATTATTTATTGAGACTAAAAAGGCCTTTTTCTACTGATATTTATTATAGTCTCTTTCCCAAGATCATCTTTTACACATATTTCTTGCTTTATATCCTACCCATTCTTTCCTAATATTTGCATATAATCCGCGTATATCTCTAGCCTGCCAGTTGTTCTCAACGGTTACCAATCTTTCTTTGAGGAATTTCCTTTTTACCGATCTTGTAATTTTATTTGCCATTTTTTGGCAATAGCTTGTGATTCAAAGCCAAGGTCGTTACCATGTTTAGACAGTCCGATTTTCCGAAGCTTCGTTTTGGTTTTGTAATAAGATGTTTTTTCCAGGATTGGGTCTATGCCCTATGCCCAGTATGCCCCACAAAGCCCTATATCCAATCCCCAATCTGGGAGATGAGGAACTATGATATAAAACACAGGTCACTTCCCTGTGAATCTCTGGGTGGGAATCAGTATTAGTAATTTCTATTACTATATATAATTATAATTATTCTTATTGCCAATTTGTAATCGTAATAAGGTTGAAATAATTCTGGAAATAATAAGTGTCCCGATTTGTATTTGTAAAATAAAATATGACACGGTCACAAAAAACTTTTTTATATAACAGAAAGGTATAACTCACCTCCATCCAAAAGAAGCAGTTCTTCTTGTTTCACTTGAGCGAGCCCGTCTGGCAAAATGAGAATAATGAAAAATAGTTAATAAAATATATAATCGCAAACAAAAAATTTAATAACAAAACCTGGACCCCATGGACTTATACATTGGGCTCGAAACTAGGAATCTATGTTTGAGTTTGACTATAGTAGAGATTTTTTTTCTTTATTTAAGGCTATTTTATATGATAAAGCAATAAAAACTCACAGGATGAACAATCATTTCAGAATGTTGGAGATCTTAGAAATAAATAACATTAACATGTAAATATATTTTGTGTAATATAATTCAAAAATATAATATTTTTTTTTTATAGATCATAATAAAATAAATATATTCACCTTCATCCGAAAGAAGCAGCTCTTCTTGTTTCATATGTGTCAGCCAGTCTGCCAACATGAGAATAGTAATTAAAATAAACCAAGAAAATAAAATAAATTATTGCAAACACGACAAATTTAATAGGAACTCATCAACTAACACATTAGACTCTTAACTGGAAGTCCATGTTCCAGGGAAACTATAGTAGTGAATTTATTTTTTATTGTATTAATACGTTTCCGATTACTTCGGCATTTACTAGACAAACGCTCTAAACTTCCCATTAATTACAAAAGACTCATATACTTCACTATAATAAGACCTATTTGGATGAACGGAGTTGAGCTATGGGGCTCCACTAAACCATCGAATTCCTCTCGCATCCAATCCTTACAATCCAAAATCCTTTGTAAAATCCTCAATGCTCCTTACTTTATCACTAATAAAATTATCCATAAAGATCTTAATGTTCCTTATATTTCAGATCTGGCCCAATCCAGATACCTATCCTTCCATAATAAACTTCAGAATTATCCCAACCCTCTCGTTTCTAACCTTGCTTCCTCTTCAATTCTTGATAACCCTCCGAGGCATCTGAAAAGAAGATGGCCCCGTGATCTCCTAATGTAGTTATATCATTAGAGTGCTACCATTGGGTAGTTACTCAGCAAGTGTATTCATGTCATTATATCTATTATGTGCAAATTTACTAGATGTATTTATGTAATACAGTTGTAAATGTCATTAAGAAATAAAAATAAAAAAATTGTATTAATACAAGTAAAGACAGGATTTAAATTCAGTAAAAGTCTAAAAATGTGTACATAACAACTTATGTATGAAAAAATCATCATAATTGTTTTATTTACAATCTTTACAAATGCAAACCTTGGTTTAGAGGTACAGAGTCTGAATTACAAATATGTGTTGTAATGTGAGAAAAAACTAATTATAATTCAAACATGAATTATTATTAACAGGGTGGCTACCACACAGTTAAAGTAAAATTCCCTGAATTTTCTCTATTTAATGATAGTTTTCTCTGGCCAATATGTTTGGGAACTCAAATTTATTTATTATACATGAAAGAAAATTGACTACAAAATGATTTGAGAAAAAAAAAATCAGTATGTTAAACAACAAACATGATGTTTCAGAGGAAGCATTTTTTCAGTTTGATTAGGATTTTTTTTTTATAAAACAGAACTTTTAGTAAATTATTATTATCGCTTTTATTTTATTTTATTTCCATCAACTGAGAGGAGGTAAAACTTTATACTTGATATATACAATGCTCTTATTTTCTCTATTATAAAATAAAGTTAGCTATGGGGGATTGCAATATTAATATATATTGTTCTGCTATTGATTCTCCTAAAGATTAATCAGTACACTGTGTGTCCAGCAACTCAATATAATTGGGCAGCAAGCTTTTATATTTTATATGAAAATTAGGGATTGACCGATGCCGATATTAATATCGGTATATCAGCCTTTTTTTTTTTTTTTTTTTTTTATGCTCTCTCCAGATCAGCATGTAGGATATCCTAAAGACCGATAATTTTTTTATTTTTTAAAATAAAGTCTTAAGGCTGATGCGTAAGCTCAGCACCGCCGTTGCCCTACTACTTGATACATAAGAGAATTTTACACCAATAGTTACGAGTCCTGAGGCCATGGGAAGACTTTTAACGCTGGCATTAATAGATAGAGAAAGATCCAGGTATAGTATTAAACATCAATGTATAAGAACATAACTCCATAGCTGGAGTTAGTCGTTTTTCCATTATTTTTAAGATTGTATTTTAGAATTAATTAAAATTGTAACTCATTGATAACAACAATCAATAAATAGTTATATTGTTAACCAAAACGATGGATATAATATAATATTTGGCAAACTAAACAGGGCCCAAAAGGGACCTAGTGAAATAAGTAATATTATGTTCGAAATGTGAGAATTATTATAATTGATGACCCTCAAAAGGTGACAACTAAAAATGTTTATATTGATAATTGATATTTGTTCTATTTTATTTTATTTTTTTATACTTTTACACGAAGAAAATTTTATTAAGTCTTCATAACCCAAACTCAACAAATCAAGGATTGATTCAAACAGTTTTGATTTCGATCTTTTCTAGAAGTACAACAAAACATATTCTAACCAAAGATTTTTCAAAAACCAGAGATTTGAACCCACTAGACTCAAGAATGTTAAAATGGGCAATACCTCAACACTCTTGGCCATCACGACCTCAATCTTTAGTATATGATGATTAAAGGTTAATAAAATATGTTGATCTCACCTTTATCAGGAAGAAGCTGTTCTTGTTTCACTTGAGTAAACCCATCTGCCAATATAAAAATGATAATTATAAAAACAAAGAGAAGAATATACCTCATGATATAGACATATCATTCACATTACATATTCAACTAATTTAGTAAGAAAATTCGGATTCAATAACCTGAATAAAACAAAATTTTAATAAATTATTCTTCTACAAGAGCTAAAGCCTTCTTCATAACAAATGTGACTTTTGTTACTTTTAACAGATAAATAGGGAGATTAGAGTTATAGAAATTTTGATTACAGAATATGATGTAATAGAAAATAAGAATAGATTTCAGCTGTCTCAAGCTAACAGATAAAATACAAAAAATTAGTTGTTCAATATTTGATAATACAGTAAACTTTACCCAAAACTCTACCAGAAAACTATATAAATAACACAGGGGACCTTGGTCCATACCCCGGTCTCATCCTGCACTACCCCCTCTCTCAGACGGTGTAATCTACGCCCTTAGGACAGATGCGAGCGAAGTGAGGAACAATACGGCTTATGACCTACCTCATCGGTAGAACTTGAGATTTACAGCCCTTCGGCTATTTCCAGGACCCTGGACGAACGGCGGAGAGAGAGAGAGAAGGCGCGAGACCGGCCCCCTCATCAAAGTGTACGTAAGCCATATTACTTATTCACAAGTATTCCTTCACAAAACATTTGTTTCTTTTTATATTTCACAAGAAAAGGGCTCCCGGTCATATGGCATGTACCGGGCCCCCCAACATAGTACATAACCTTTATTTTATTTAACTTAAAAAGGAATAAATAATTTAATATATTAATTTATAAAAAACAGAATGAAATATTTTCATTTAATTCGGTTTTTCAATTCTAGATACCGTCTATGAAACATAAAACCTCAAGTTGTTGAGTAGTAAATTCTTAATTAAATTCTTTGTATTGGTCAATTTAAGATTTAACATAATTTTAAAAGAAACCTGGTGCAGTGCACACATCACACAACTTTCACTTACCACCCTCTTTTTAGCAGAAATAAGTATTTTCAGACCTTATATATTTATATTTCATTGTGAATATTTTTATTTGTTTAAGCACCCATATATATATATATATATATATATATATTATAATGTAAATATTACATAGTGATTTTGAATAGTGGCACGAAGGTGGTGACATCACGAACTACTCATAGGAATGACAGATGGTGGGGGAAGAAGTTCCATATGAAAAGGAGAAGGTAGCCAAACGGCTAGTAAGGAGGATCAGGGAGAAGAAAATGAGCGTTAACTAGTATTGAGTGTCTACAACTAGATGAAGACAAGAAAATAGAAGAACAAGAGAAAGTTGTAGAAGTTGGATACAATACCGAGGAAGATTCACTTCAGAACAAGGTGAGTGAAATATAAAGGGACAGTTCGAAAGCGCGCCAAGATTTGACCCCGACAAACAATGGAAATTCATAAATGTGCTGTATAATTAATTTATGCTTTTATATTGTATAATTGAGGGTGTGTGTTAGTTATCTAAACCCAACCTGGGGATTTATTATTGCATAAAATAAATATTATTTGATTAAGAAACTGTTTGTTTACTTTTCGAAGGGAATGTAACCTTACAATATATCCAAATTTTAATATTTATATCGCTGCAATCTATACAATTAAATATTAAATAATACCAACGATAGCATTTATTAAAACCGCATATGCATATGTACATAATATTGTCGGAGTCCATATTATATTATGCTCATGTTCTGTATGGAAGCCTGTTCTAATCTTTTGGGAGAGCTCGAGCACGCTCATATTCCTTTGGTTCTTTCGTTACAGCTATTCTCCATTATTATTTCTCCTTCAGTTAATTATCAACTTCTTTTATATTTAACTATTTTTTATTACAGAGATCAATATGAAATAATTAATTGTTTCAAATAAAAAAAATTAAGGATACTTTAGGGAAAGCTAATATTGACGATTAGCCATTTAAGCTCTATTAGAGAACATAAATGAGAATGAAACCTACATTATATTAAAAACTGCTTAATTTTACACTGATATCATGAATTTAATAAAAATCGTTAGAGCCATTTTCGAGAAAATCGTGAAGATGTGTTATGTCAATGATATAAAGTGCCACTTTTGGTTAGCCGATTTTGACGAAAAAGTTGCTCTAACATCTCAGGCATATAAAAACCTTGAATATGCAATTTCACTTTCTTAAGAATTTTTGTTTTTGAGCTAAACTGATGCACACACACACATTTAATCATTTTTCAGGACTTGGTCATTTGGATGCAGGGGTCCTCAAAACATGTATTTCTATTGAAAACTGAGATTTGAAAATTTTCACGATCGCAATACTGTCCTTTACTATATATTTCATATATAGGAAAGGTAATGGGGGCGGGGTGGCCGAATGGGCTAAAGCGTGTGCACTGCACCGCGAGTTGCCTGGCAACCGGATAAGAGATTTGAGAAGAATAAAAAGTATGAGTTCGCATCCCGGTGCCGGAGGGGATTTTAAATTCCCCGCCCTCACCCTCCGGCCCAGGAAAATCCCGTATAGCCTTAAAGGCGAGGTAGGGAAGAACAAAAAAAAATAAAAATAAAAAAAAATAATATACAGGAAAGGTAAGTAAAAGTAAAAATAATTTCCATCATATTTTTAGACCCAACATAGGTTGTTATATGTAAATTCTACTTATTCATAAACGTTAAATCCCAAATAAACGTTAAATCACAGCCTTGTGTCTCTAAATTTAGTGAATTTACTTTTTAAACTTTGTCTCCATTTGACACGCCAATTTTCCATTCTTTTTCTTTAGGTACTATACTTACACAATACACACACCCTTTAACTCTACCCTCCAATCACACCTTCCCCAGAAAGACACAACAATCCCCCCCAGTCACCCAACATCACCGCCCCATCACCACACCCCTAGCAACCTACAATACAATACAAACACAACCTCAACCAACACCACAACTACAACCACAATCAACTACAATAACACTCACAACAAATGCCAATATCTCCCCACCCCCCCCCCCCCCCCATACCACCACCCCCCCCCCCCCACCAATACATAAACCACCCCCACACTCAAACCCACTCCTGCCCCCCAAACCACCCTAAACACACATCCCACACACCAACAATCCCCCAACACACCCCCACCCATTCCCACAACCCCCCCCCCCCCACCCCCGCCACAGACCCAACTCCCCGCCCCTCCAACATCCTAAAAACACACACATACCCGCACGCCACATACCCTTCACACATCCCATCAGCACCCCCACCATCCCGCACCCCTACATCCCCCAAACAAACCGACCGCTACCCACACCTCACCCCCCCGACCCCACCCACCACCCCCCCTGCCACCCAACTGAACTCTTCTCACCTGTTCTTAACATACATTCCCACCTCGACATCGCACCCCACTTGCCTGGTTTTGTCGCTCAACCCAGCTATTCAACACGTTCTTTTTAAATTGTACTTCATTATTATTTGTACTTCATTACAAGCCCACCCCACATATTTATTTATTTTGTTCGGTTTCTTTTTTTTTTTTCTAACGACCGTTGACTTCTTCGACTTTCGCCATTAATCTTCTAGCAGCTTTTTTAGGCTGTTATAGGCAACAGTTGTGATCGCTTGGTTCTCTTCTTCAAGATATCCAGAGAGTACGTAGTTTACTAACCGAACGCGATCACAAATCACTCCCTCTTCATCAGGCACTTCCCTGAAAGATGGTTGGCAATCTTTTGCAGCAATCTCCATTCTGATTTTTATGGGATACGGAATTATACCCAATCCCCAACCTAGAAGAGCAGGAACTATAGTGTAAGACACGGGGGTTGCTCACCTCCCAGTGAATCACTGGGTGGGGACAGTAAAGTTTCGAATCGAGTATCGAACTCATGCCGTAGTGCTCTAAGCAATGCACTTATTAGTTTTTAATATATTAATAATTATTTTTATCCTTTTTTTTTGTTATTAAATTCTGCGAACGGGATTTGAACACTTGACATAAAATTTTAGCAGGTGCTTTAACTTGCTCAACCACCATAGCCACATATTTGGGTGGTGATTGCATGTATTTGTCTATTTTCCTTAGGAAATAATAGACATTTGCACTGTATTGAAAGTTGTCAGAGGAAGGCGGGGTTGTGTTTTCTATCCGATTTGGAACCTCTAGAACACGATTATGCTATTTTTGGGGATTCAGATATATATATATTTTTTTCAGCTACAGTTAGATTACTCCAGTGATCCCGGATGGAACCAACTAGCTGAAATTTGACATAGAGTTGGTTCCCAGACGGAACAGTATTTCACATCTCTATTAAGGAATTGCTATAATTGCTTTTTTTTCCTACAAATAAAAAAATCATTGACCATTTGTGGCAGAGATATGAGGGATTGAATTTTGGGATTCTTTGTTCCTTTGGAAATTCGATCTTCATAATCTAAAATCTAAAAATCTACCTGCAGAGTCTTTATTCTGGCTTGGCGACTATTATAAATATCAATAAAGCATAATAAAAACAAATTATAATAAATAAATATTTTTAAATCAACCTAATCTTAGGAAGCTAATGCTAACCTGTATGAAGTTATTTGTGAGGATATGCTATACATAATGAATTTATAACTTTTGGAAAATAATATTTGGTTTGGATTTTTCCAATAATAACCTAACATCTATTTTCTGTCTCTCGGTGAGTTTTTACTCGTGCATATTACTAATCGAGTACATCAAGGAACAGAAGGTAACTCATAAAATGACTTTCTAGTTCATTGTTACAAAGTTATTTCTCAGTAACAGTTAAAAAGTATATTACAGTTAATGGATAATGTGAAAAAGATGCCACATTTTATCAGGCATAATGCATTTATCAGGGGCATTAAATTTTTGTTCACTTAATGAGGCATTCGAAGTAACAAGAGTTTACTGTATCAATTTATTAATTTCTTGGGCCAGAGTTTATTAACTGGATAACTTGAAATAATAATTAAGATTACCACTCATCTCATGACAACAGTAATTAATTTTTATGATACTATTAAAATGTTTATCATAATGTGATTTACACCCTGAAGTGATAACAATGGAGTAATGAAGTAATAACTGCTATTGCAAGCAGATAATAACTTAAAACAAGGATAATATTAAGTTAATATTTTCCTTACCATAATCAATCATCAGTTCCTCCTCTTTGAGGACAATTGTGGATTCTGCAACATATTTCAATAATTAGTTATTATATAAACAGAAAAGAAAAAACAGTTCAGTTCCTTTTCCTCCTCTGTTTCTCAACCATTTTTTTTTTTTTGTAGAAACTATTGATGAGCTTTAGTGTTAGCAATAAAACTTTTTTGGAAACAGTGTTATTATATGCATATAAATATAAATGTAAGTTACCGACAAACCAGCTGTAATGATTTTAATGGAAATTGGCTTTCTTGGAGATCTCTTCATTGAAGCCCTTTTAATTTATGAATTTAACATACTTCTCTGAAAAGAGGATGAAAGCAAGGCAATGATGGATTTAGAATTTTATTTGTAAATAACTCAAAAAGTATGTTTGGTTCATTACACCCATGAGTATTTTAGAGCTTCCTGAATTCCAAATAAAATGAAAAAATAAATTAAATAAAATCATCAAAATTTCTGATGTCTAATAAGATATTTTTATTGCATTTTTCTCTTTTTTTTGTTTATATTTTTTAGGAGAGCTCTATTAAAAAAAATTAAAATTTAGCATATTGCTATAGTATGAGTACAATGTTGAAATGAGATGATTTGTACTGACCAAGGAGCAAAGTGGGTTAAAATATTTTTTTTTAAAAAGTACCGATGCATTCAGAATTTTATTTGCGAATAACTCAAAAAATGCAAAAATGGTACGGCACTGTTTTGTATTGTGTGTGAATATAAAAGTGTATGTACGAATATTCAAGAGTAGAAAAAAAAAGTTAGAAACATTTAAATTCATTTATGTTTTCCTCACATTTTCAATAATGATTTGGAATGTCAACAAAAAAAAGTCTATTTTTGTATTTTTAATTGTTATTCTAAGCAAACATTTGTCAATAATATAAGAAATATACATCATTAAATCGTATATAATAAATAAATCCAAATAAATGAAGAATAATCAAAACTATCATTAACCTTATATTAAACGACCTTAGGCCTACTCAAGTGTTTACAAGATAAACAGTTTATACCTTCATCTGGGATGAGTAGCTCTTCTTGTTTAACATGGACATGGCCACCTATCGACCAAAAATTAATATGTAAATAAAATGAGATAGCATAAAGTTAAAAATGAAACCTTTTTAAGAATAAATAAGGAATCTTCAATCACTACACATTTTTCTTTAATTACAGCATTAAATATTATAACTAGAGACAGGATCATTGTGCAGTAAAAAAACTCATTAATGTGCAAAATCATGCAGTAAAACCCCAAAATTATCTAATTTACACCAAAAATTATCTATTTTGTTTAATTTACAATATTAATACATCAAAATCTTAAACTTTATGTTAAGCTTCTGAATTAAAATAGCGCCACAAAAAAAAAAATTAAAATCCATATGACAATCAACTAACGACAATAATATATATAATCTAATACAACAATAAATTAAGATTAACCTAAATCTTGATGAAAATGAATTTAAAAAATAAATAAATAAGGCCTAACATAAATAATAATATATACATATATATATATATATAAAAGGTTTCAATAATTAAATGTATTTGTGTAAATTTCCCTCAAATTGGTTAATTGACAGGCACATACAAAGAATGAAGTAATGTTGAGGAACTTGAAAGGTTAAAGGTCTGAAGGATAAGTATATATTATATACACCAGATTAATTGATTTCAGATATTTAATTATAATTAAAAATAATACATGTTATATATGATTAAAAATATGATTATATGATAAAAATATATATAAAATAATAATAATAATAAAATATATGATAAAAATATATGATTATAAATTTTCCACATTATAATGAAAACTTTATTTTTTAATAGAGTGGAAATTTACAATGTTAAACATTTCAAATTTTTTTCTGAAAAATTGTTTCTTCTAATCCTTGAACGTATTAAGGATTAAGAGAAATTTAATTGAGAAAAGAAGTGTTTAACATGAGCTGATGTAAGGGAACTCATTTTGTAAAAAGCAACCACTGCTGGTTCTTTGTCAACATTTACATTTATACCGTTAATACAGTCGTCATCGTGATTTTATGAATATCAAAACGGATATTATTTATGACAAATTCATAATAGTCCATAATTCACTTTAAAACCTGAAGGGATACTGAAGGATTTAAGAAAAAGTGAGAATTCAAGTCAAAACAAGGAAGACAATTTTTTTTTATTGAACTACTTCAAGCAAGTTCTATTCTAAGAATAGTCAGTCTGCAATTGTGTTTACTTTGTCTTTTTGTAACGTTAAATTTGAATCTATGCCAGTCACAGAATAATTTTCTTTCCTCATATTTTTCTTTCTAAAATTACAAACATAAAATGTACAAGATAGTAAAACAATAAAGTATTTAAATTTATAAATCATTTAATCTAGCTCGAAATGTACAAAATCGTGCAATTTAAGCCAAAAATAGCAAAACGTGCAATATAAAATTGAAATATGTTATTCTACAGATCCTGAAATAGATAGATATTCGGGTACAGTTTTTATACACAAGCGAATAAAATATGCAATAGCATGAAAATCCGTTCTCTAATTATAACTATAGATTATTGTATACATAACATTTAACTTGATAAATAAAATATAAAGGAAAACAGAAAATAAGAACCCCAATAATTAAAACTCAATTATTAAAGTGGATATAGTCACTGTGAAGGGATATAAAAGTATATTTAAAATAAATCCGTTCAGAACATCCATTTCTATGTAACGCTTTTAAAAATGTATATGGTAATTGAAAAGAGAGCCAAAATCACATCGATTATACTGTAGATGGAATTTAAAAGTAATCCAGTGTTGACAATCATATTCATTTGACTAGCTCAAACAATAAACAAACCTTCAAAGAGTCCTTAAAAGAGAAAAGTTGCCATTATATATTTTTAGACATACTTGGCAACTTTCAGGATTCTCTCTATGGTTTAAGTCAATGTATTAATTATTAATTAACAGGAGATAAAATAAGTCTGATAATTTTTAACATTATTTTAAATAGTTCAAAATAATTAAAAATTGTATCATACAAAAATGTATAATATTTGCAAAGTTTAAAATAAATACTTACAAGAAGGACTGGTTTCATCAGCCATTTCTTCTGCAATACAGTAAAATGATTTGTATCTGGGTAAAAAAAAATTAAATAAAGGGTGAATTTGATATTTGAGGGTGATTTTAGACATTTCGCAAACAATGGAGAAAACAAATATTTAAATGGTTATTTCCCATGCTAGTGTTTTTGTTACCTGTTTTTTATGTTTTCCATCTGTTGTCAGTACAAGTCAAATAAAAAATATTTGGCATAGCGCTTATGTCGCTGTAAGTAAAGATAGATAATTGAGTTTCCCATAGTTTGTGAAATTTCTAAAGGCACCTTTAGAACAATGTAAAATTAGGAACTTAGTTATTTAAGAGTAAATGCCTTATATGACGGTATAATATCTTTTGCAATTAATTAGATAAATCTTTACATAAACAATCAATTCCAACAATCAGTTTGAATGAATATAATATTAAATTATATACTGACAGTTTATGGATACAAAAAACAGCAAGACTACTTATGTAAATAATATTAAAATTTATTAATAATAGAAATTTTAAAAAAAACAAGGGAATAATTAACTCGGTAAACTAAAAACAAAATTTTCATAAAATAATAGCTAACTAACAAAAACAAAGATAACCTTTCATAACCTATAAACTCGCGATAAGTAAACAATCTTTCCCGCCAAAACATATTCTGACCAAAGAGGTTAAAATCTTCGGAGAGCAAGTTATCAGTTCTTTTTCAAATCGATTTAATTATATATTTTAATACATATTCCTTGAAACCTAGAATATATCACAGATTAGAACAAATATATAAATTTTTGTATTCTGATACAGTTATTTATAGGAGTGTCATGTACAACATGCTAGAAGTACCCAACGCAAAAAAAGCGGTATAATGGGACGAAATCCTCTACTTCGGGAGGAAGCCATTTTTTTCTTACCTCATAAGCAGAAGATTTGAGTAAGAGATATGGAAGATTTCATTACTTAGTTGGAAGAAAAAAATTGTCTGGCAACTTGGAGGGTGACTTTGGGTTGTAAGATGTTTCAAAATATTTAATATATCACTACATAAAAAAACGTATGGGAAATATTTTATATCAATATTTAGACTTCCCTGAAGAATCCTGTAATACAATCTGACAAAATATCTTAGTTCTATCAACGAAACTAAGAAAAATTGAGAAATTTGAAAAAATGCATCATAAACAACGTGAGACATTTTTTTAACTAATAGAGATGCATCAAGACTATCTTCCAAACAAATACTTTTCGTTGATTGTCCCTTCTACAGTCTCGTCTCCAGTTGTTATGCTGAGTTTAAGTGCCTCTATCCAGTTTTCCAACGGCAATGTAACTTACCTTCTTAAGTTGTTTAATCCTTGTTCCTCTGTCCATTCGTTTAACAAGAGCTCCCAACCCTCCAATCTAATTATTCCTTCTCAAAGAACTGTTTCCTTTAAAAAATCCTTTGTTGTGCTTGCTATATTGTTCTGGAATTCCTTACCTGTCTTAATTCGCAAATCTCTTTCTTAAACTCATTGAAACAACGTTTATTCTTCCGCCTCCTCAGCAATCAATCGTATTTAAGAGCTGTCACCTTCATTTCAGTGTTATCATACATACAAATGTCACATTTATGTTCATTATAATTATTCTTAAGATACTAAATGTCCCAGAATAAAATTTATTTACTTCTCTGTCAATTTTTTTTTTAAATTGGCAAACTTGTAAAACTTATCTAAGCCTTGTCACCATCCTTATGGGGTTCGTAAATAATGATAAAATATATTGATGAGTTTGTAAGATCAAAGCTTACAGCAAACAAATCATAAATACCATTAAAATAACAAAAGGCCTATTTATTATATCACAGGTTGATTATGGATTGTACGACTATTAGTTATTAAATTGTTATTTTCTACTAAAATGGAATTAAGAGATTTGCATTATCTGTCACAGACACGTCTAAAAGTTGTCACACTAATTGTAAGTGGATACTGTTGGAATATCACAAAGGGGAGATTCGTCAAATTATTCACTAATTTCATTTTCTAAAAGGTTACATGATGATTTTTTGGAATAAACGGACGATAGATACCTAATTATTTAAATATACAATTATCAGATTTACTCAGATTTATTACAACTAAGTATTACTACAGTAAGTATATTTAAGGGTTTAAACATATCCAGGAAATATTTTTATATTTCACTTCTTCTTCAACACAAGTACAATGAAATAGTTTTTTAACAACGTCATTGCCTTGATTAGGTGAATTTTAAATACTGTTTTCAAACTTAAATATATTTTAAATTTTATATTTAGTTAGTAAATTTCATTTAATTTTCTTGAAAACATTTGATTTACGTTAAATAATATTAGTTTTCAAAAATTATCATTTTTTATTTTTTCGCCTCTCTCCATTAACTTCTACAACTTTCTATATTAGATGTTTTTTTTTTTCTAAAATTCTTCGCTTTCCGATATATTATACATATACCTTCTGACTAGTATTTCCGGCGATTCATTGCCGACCTGAGTAAGCATTTTCATTTTTTTTCTCCTTTATTAAATTATCAAATTCTTTCAAAAGTTATATTTAGCCTATTTTCGTAAATCTTAATAATGAGAGATAGTTAATTATTTGAAACAAACCATATTAAAGGTACTTTAGAGGAAGACGCATATGAACATTTGCATTTAAGCCCTGTAAAGTGACACAATGGGGATACATAAATGATATTAAATACCACTTAATTATACAATGATACAGCGAGTTTACTCAAAATCGTTAGCGCCGTTTTTGAGAAAATTGTGAAAATGTGTTGATATAAAGTGGCACTTCCCATTAGCCGATTTTTACGAAAAAGTTGCTGTAACATTTAAGTCAGTATTTCATTGTATAATTAAGTGGTCTTTGATACCATTTAGGTCTTATCCCCGTTGATGTCACTTTACAGGGCTTAAATGCGCAATGTTCG